CAAAGATATAAGAAAACCAAGAAATTCTAAGTAAGTGGCCCAGAGCAGTATTTCTTACAAGGTGGTCTTGCAACAGGCAGCATCAGCTTCTGGAGGCTGAACAGTCTATGTTTCAGACACCCTCTAGGTGATTCTAATGCAGGCAGTGGAGAACTTCTAGTCTAGAGATAACAGGGCCATTTGAGCTTCTGTGGACGTAGAGCTCACTATTACTGGAGCAGTCATGGAAGACTTTCTGGAAGGAATAGCATCTGATGGAGGACCACATTGTCCTTTTAGCAATGCTTCTTGTCTTTGGTTCCTCAACCCTACCATCCTTTGAGCTTTCATATTGATGTCTGAACCATTTTGTTCCAATAAACATTACCACACTTGGGATGGATCCACAACATCTACTATATTGATAATCTCCCTAAATTTAGAGAAACATTTATAGAAGATGAGGCATTTTTATGTTGGAAATTGGTTCTTTCATTATTCATTAGAAGAAATATGGGCTTTCTCATTTCCCAATCCAGAACCAAGTGGACCTTGTCAGTGTTTATCACCCCAAAGAGATGGATATGGTGTCTGATTCATTTTCTGGGTTCTCACGTCCATAAATTCTAATGTGAATTTTAATGTTTGTTCAAGGGTAACTATGAAAAGTGATGAAAATTCTTGAATTTAAATTAGCTCTTATTTTATTTCTGCTCAGTTTGATGTGCTTCTGTCATTTCCTCGGATTTCATAAGCTCTAACTGGATGACAATGAATGAATCCAATATTGAACAAAATTGGAGAAATCTGATCTATGACAAAGAGATTCTGTGTCAAGAGTCACTCAAGCCCAACAAGGTCCATAGTAAAATTTTTTTCTTCCCAGAACTGAGAATGGATGGAAAGATGGGGAATGTGTCAATGTCTGAAAGTTCCCAAAGGATTTTACCCCACTGATCTTAGTTGGCACCCAAGGAGAAAATGATAGAACTCATTATCCTAACATGAAATGTTTAAAATTTGGCCTGTGACCTAAGAGAGTGACCTCGTGAGAGAGAAGGCTAGCATACTCCCATGTGAAGATATTAGTGTATCAATTTACAGTTTGGGGAAAGACCTGGAAAACACAGAGTAAGGCAATCTGGGATGGAAGCCAAAGAAATATAGATGAGAGGAATTACCTGCCAAGATTGTGGAAGAGAAGATCCTGAATTAGTTAACATGTGCTGTCTGAGTTCCTATTTTTGTGGTCAGTCCTGAAATGTGCCCTCTGAGATCAGAAACGGATATCCCAAGGGCTGAGAAGACAAATGCTATAGGCCTTTCAGATGCTGATGGTGAGTCAGGCACCAGGATAACACTTGCATCTTCTCAGCGTCAGCCCTGGGAAATGATCAAAATGATCAAGCCTGAGCTTCAAGTTCTATGTTTACTAACTCACAAGCATATCCCTCTGTGGGCGATTTTGCCTCTTAGGAAGAACTCACACATTTTGTAAACTTCCACAACTTATTTTTTGTTATTTCTTCTACTCCAGAGATCTCCCTAGTGTCCACTTACTGATTTTCTCTCCCTTGCCTTGTCCGCTCCTGAGCATTTCCAGGTTAACTAACTGCAGTTCTTACCCACTTCTTGGTTCGATTGATGAACACTACTCTTGAATCAAATCATCTGTTTCCTGTGGGTACTGTCGCTAATCGCCACAAATTGGGTGGTGTAAAAGAACAAAAATTTGTTTTCTCACAGATCTGAAGGCCAGAATCCAAAATCCAAAGGGCAGAAGATTTCAGTCCCTCTAGGACTGAGGGGATAGCTAAATCTGTGCTTACTCCACCTTCAGTGGCCCCAGGTCTTCCTTGTGGGGCCACTGTCTTCAGCATCCTTCCCCTCTCTGCATGGTTCTCTTTGTGTCTCCTATAAGGGTCCATGTCATTGGATTTGGGGCCCACCTGAAAATCCAGGGTGATTTTATATTGAGATCTTTAACTCACATCGGCAAAAACCCTTTGTTCAATTAAGGTCATCTTTATAGGTTTCAGGGAATAGAACATAGCCATATGTTTTTTGGGGAAAGTTACCATTCTTCCCAGCATATCATACCATTTTTTTTTTTAAGTTTCTTTTATTTATACAAGAACCAGGCCAGATGTGCAGGAGAGTGAGGGGATTCACCAGAGACAGAGCGGGGAACAGAACAGGCAGACTGACTGAAATACACTGCTGAGGGGAGCAGCGGGCGAGATAGGAGAGGTCTGCTTTGCCATGTGGGTATCTCCCCAGCTGGCTGGGATTGAACCCGTGCTGCAGAGGCTACAGACAGCTTCACAGCACTGTGCACCACCAGGGAGGCCCTATCATCCCAATTGTTCTCTTTTTTTTTTAATATTTCTTAAATTTCTGAACTATGAACCTCTTTGAGTGTCTGATAAAATATATGCAGTTTCTTCATAGATAAAGATACATCTGCCAATAAATGCATTATTTAAAAAATTAGGCAAGTCAATCTCCACTGTTATCACTAAAGTCTCTATGTACACTCTAGATTGAGAATCTTAGTTTTTGTCAATGGTGATACTTATATTAGCCACAGTTTTCCTGTGTGATCTAGTTAATGTGGAGTAAATCAGGATAGTGCCTCTTTTAGTCTAGATAATAAACAAAATTCTATCCATGCATTATAAGATCATCCTGAGTATTTTTGGTGCATCTGAAGTTCATTTATTGTAATCATATATATATAAACTCCTAAATGGCTATTATTGTCTTCATCATTATTTAACTTGTGCTACACCAAGCCTCACTTCTTTTATCCAATACTTATATAATCATCCAGGGGAGGACCTGACATTTCTCTCTGTTATGTTGCATGTTATTAATTGTTGCCTATTTCTTTAGCCTGTCAAGACCTTTTTGGGTCCTGATTCTGCTATCAAACATATTGACCATTTCTTCCAGCTTTGTGTCATTTAAAAAATGTGATTTCCAATGATGACCATGATTTTCTCTTTTCAAGTCATTAATAAAAATGATGAGCAAGAAAACGCAGACAGTAGAACCTTGTAGTTGACGATTCTCACCCTCCCTCCTGGTTGATTTTAATACCTTAATTAGGTACCGCTCAGCCACATAATTTCACTAGCACCTGGCTCATATTTTTTCATCTTTTCTTCAAGACTATTATGGCAGACCCTGTCAGATACTTTTCTGTTATGCAGGTAAATCATGTGCCTCATATTTCCCTTTTCTGTCTCCTTACTAATCCTTTCTTAGAAAGGAATGGAATTAACCTGACTTGTATTTTGTGATCCATGAAATAATTGTAAACTATAAGGAACAGGCACAAATGTCTCATTGAATATCACTGATATCTTGCTATGTAGAAGATATTCCAATCAGGGGAGACCTCCTAAATGAGGCAGCATTGCAATGTGGGAGATTTGGATAGGCTATAGAGAGAGTGAGACAAAGACATTCTTCAAAGTCTTCTACCACTGTTTTGTTTTTTGCTTTTTGTAATGAGCTTTCAAATAAACCTTCTACTCTTCAAACAGGCAGAAATTTTTGATATGAGATAACTGTTTTGTTAAAGATTTTAAATGAATTGACTCATGATAGCTCCTTGAAATGAATCAGAACTAGAAGATGGCAGTCCCTCATTGGAGACATGGCATAAGTGTACTGAATTTGGAGAGCAGTGCACATGGAAAGGACGCAAGAGAACAGAGACACCCCAGTGGGAAGATATTTAATTAAGTTCATTCTGTTCTACATAATGTTGGCCATACAATGCAGGGTATTTTAGTTCCACTGCCTTTACTACAGTGCTGGGCTAAGCTTCATATACACATCACATAGTTACTAAAGGAGACACCCTCCATGTTTCCCTCAAAGTCTGTCTAGTCTTTTAGACAAGATCTGTTTAACCAATAGAACATTAAAAGTTTCCAGAATCTATTGTGTGACTTACTAAATAATATATTTCTTTTCCCCATTTGACAATTTTCATCAACACCATCCCTCACAAAGCATCTTCATCTTTCCGATAGCAGAAAGAATAGAGTTAGTCTTTTAGGTGTCATCATCAGGGTATCTGAAGTTGGGCAGAGAAAATGCAGAGCTGATAGTATGATTAAGTCTTGCTGAAATAGAAGCCATCCAATTCCTTGAAAGACCTTCGCTGGTGTAAGTTCCCGGCATGACTGTGCTCCCTTTCCATCACTGTGATAGATGCCTTGCATTGTAATTACAAGACATGCCACTCTAGTGGAGTATGGATGATCAGTCTTTTTTCTATTTTTCTAGAAAGGATTGATCATTTATATTTATAGGGCTATCAACTTCTGGGATTTGGAAAGGTCAGTATTGATTATCTATGTCATGCAGATGGTGTGCTTCTTTACTGTACATAAATATATATGTTCCTTTTATGAGACCACTGTGATTTTTCAGGAAAAGGTAATACTCATGTGAAACAAGCAATGTGCATTTCAATTAAAACATACTTAGATTCATTCAGAATTTTGGAATTGGCAGGGGTAGACTTAGATTAGCTAATCCACGTCACCCTAACGCACACATGCAATCTACTTTACTGATGAAGAAATCAAGTACCCTCCATGCACATCAGTAGATAAAGCAGCAGTGCTTGCATGAAAGAGAAGCAAGAAGGCTGCCAAAATAGGAAGAACAGGTCTACGTGGCTGTAGGATTTTGGAGTATTAGGTGAATAATTTTTTTTTTTTCTTTTAACAATGTCTATCATTCAAATTCTTCCTGAAAAGCACATTCATACTTCTGTAATTAAAAAAAAAAAGTCTGTTTTGAATCCCCTGTGAATGGCATGTCAATTGAGCAGAGTTATATGGACAGTGACTTTTTCCTCCATGGCCTTTTAAGGCCTCATTTTGGATGCTTAAGTAAAGCCCAGCTTGCAGCTCACCCCTCTGTCAGTCTTTGTGCATTAGATACTAACCATGACAATTTCTGTCTTTGTTCTTCCATCCCCTCCCTAAACACCTCAGAGTTTTTGGTCACTTCAGCCTCCGCTCTGAATGGCAGTTGGTGAAAGTAGACTACAAATCCATCTTCAGCCGGCGCTGCACCAAAGAGGATTATCAGACCTGGCACCTGCTCAACCAGGTAGACCACATGGGTAGGGAGTCCTGGCTTCCAGGACAGGAGCTACCAGAAGCCCTGTTTGGTTATATCTGGGTCTTCCTATTTGGAGAGGGAAGGTAGGATGCCATCTGAGGATGATGGATAATGGTCGACTTGGGGGGTAGGAACCCATACACCCAAGTCCAACAGGAACAGATGATATTTTGGGATCATCTTGTCCCCTGGGATTCTGATCTAGTCTTTGAGGTTACTGAGTTACCTGGGGCAAAGGTGACACTTATAAGCTAGGTTTTTAGCTCTATTCATGAAGAAACAAGCAGCTAAGATGACATGTTGATTATTCACCATCCACTGGGGAGCATGAGAACATTTCTCAAGTCAGCCTAAAGTAAGGGCCCTAAGGACATCAGGAGCAGGACCTCAGACAAAGGGCAAGGAGTTAGGGTATGGAGCTCCAGCAACAGAAGATGTTTGTTACTGTCCACAAGAACCTCTGTGTTCTTCAAAGCCATTGGGTCTCCAGTTGGTACCACCTTCTCCTCTCTTTCCCTTTGACTAGGAATAAGACCTTGTGGATGGTCATTTGTCATAGAGAGGTAGCTGGTTAGGGTAACTTCAGTTTTATAGGAAAGCTGATGTGAGAAATGTGCCAGGAGAACTTCTGCTGAAGCCATTGGGGCAACTTGTATAACTGCCTGTGGGTCTGTGAGGATGATTTAAATATTTGTATTCTCTGTGGGTATGGAGAAAGAGTAGGACAAAGTAAATAGTACAGGCTGAGTGGAAAGTTGTGACAGGCCAGCCTCACAACTGTTTCTTCTGTGTGTTATTAAGTGGGGTTCTCCCTATGTGCTTGAAGCTCCTGAATGGTTGCTGGCAATGAAATTGCTCCAGAAACCAAAAGAGAATGAACAGGTTCATGCTTCTTATTGAGAAGTTGATTCATTTCATCTTATTTATGCCTATATGCCTCTCTCACTAAGGACTTTCTTTTTAAGGGGGAGCCCTGTGTCATGGGAGAAAGGAAGATATTCAAGAAACGCAAGCCAGGAGCTCAGTGCTCCCTGGGCCGAGAGTCCTCAGGAACAGTGGTGTCAGAACCCTGTGTCTGTGCAGACTGGGACTTTGAGTGGTGAGTCCCTTGGCATCTCATTACTAATCCCAAACAGATATTTGCCTGTGTGGGGATGAGAGTGAAGGTGGAGTTCATGGGGGCAGGAATGACCTAAAGGTAGGAGATGATCTCCTGGCCTGCAGACCTGACTATCCCAGTTCCTGGGCCAGATGAGAAGATGCCTAACTAGAAGGAGGATAGAAGTGAGCATTTTCACAGGAAAGATCACTGTTCTAGCAGAGAAGCATGTCCCGAGGACATTTAACTTTCAGTTGGCAGGCGGAGTGGAAAGGACCAGAGAAGTTGAGCTGGGTGCTGGCAGAGCTCAAAGCATTACTACTTTGGACAGTCAGTCCAAGCGCATTCACTCCGACCGTGCTCTTCCTTGCAAATGCTCTCATATCATAATCTTATCTTTTCTCCCTCTAATAATAGCCACAAAGATAAATTCAGATGTTACCTATTAACCAATGACTCACAAGTTTCCAAACCTCTAGCTTTGGCCTCTCTGGCCTCCAGGATGGGACATTTGTGTCCATCTGTCTACTCAACATCCATCTCCCCATAAATTACTAATAAGGATTTCAAATTTGGTGTGGCCAAAGCAGACCCTTTCTTGAATCCCCTGTAGTAGAAGCAATTATCAACACTTTTTGAATGCCCACCAACTCATTTTCCAGTAAAACATACTTTAATCCACTTGGTTCCTTAAGTCAAAATCCCAGAAGATTTGATTTTTTCCTTTCCCTCACCCTCATGTCAAGGTCTTCTGCATGCCCCCCATCCCTTAAAGTACAATCCAGTCATCTTCCGCATTGCCCCATTGTAGGGGGATTGGCCTGCTACCATTGTGCCTTCTTTTCTCCCTCTTCTCCTCTTATTCACCATTTTGTAGTCACACTAGTATCTCCTTTACCTGCTTTACTAGGTTCTTTCCTAGCAGAGGAAATAGAAGTGCAAGGATTTCTTTGAAATCTCAGCATGGCTGGAACCTCTGATTTACTCTTTTCTCTGCAAAAATATTAGTTTTCCAGAAATACCACCTGAGACCACCAAATCTCATCGACACCCTAGCACTCCCAAAAATATCATCCTGTTATTAATTGACATATGGAGTGATCATGTTTTTTGATTGCCCTATAAATGCCAGGTAGACTGTAAATGTCACGGTGCAGGCATTTTAGGCTATCTTCATCTATGCATCTCCAGTGCCTAGTCCATAGTAAGTGTTTTATATTTGTTCTGTGTTTCTGCACATTGTTCCTTTCAGAAGAATCAACAAGCTTTTCCAGTTCTGGGACTGGGTATATGCCACTCTGATCCCAGGTAGATGAATACTTTATCTGCATCACATTCTAAAGATGAAGTTCAATTTAGATATTTTCATCAACCATTCCAGGTTTAAAGACAAAACTAAGGACACAGGCATAAGCCTGCAAACATGCAAGGGGCAGGTCAATGAGAGACTTGCATTTGAGCCTTCTTGATGTTGCGTAATAGAAGTAAGTCCAGATGGGCACAGAGCAGCTGCCCCTACATGGCAGCCTCAGCCCTTCCATCCACATATCATGCAGCCTGTTTCTTAAGCTTGTTCTGCTGGAGGCCATATTTTGTTTTCCACTTTCAACTGGGACTTTAACTGGTAACTGCAGGATGACTGGGTCTCTATGTCTGTCCCTACCTCTTCTTCATCCCTGAAATCTTGCTCTAGGAAGCTTGACTTCAGTGAGAGTCATTCAGATGGAATATACTAAATGAAATCTAAGTTTGAATGCCAGATGTCAATCTCATGACTTTGACCCTTTGGAAACAAACTTGGGAAGACCATTTTCAATTATTAACCATATTCCAGCAAAGTAGTTACAGCAGTGTATACTGCAGGCCACTCAGAATTATGGCACATGACATACAAATGTCAGCCTGAATATTCTGAATGTGAACAGCAGGATTTCTTATGACCTTCTGCAGAGTAGCTCCATGGAGGCATGCTGCCTTTGCTCACTCATGCCTTGTCTCCTGTGTCTTTCCTAGTTGTAATATACTATAACTCTTTGTTGGAAAGGAAGAATTATAACAAGTATTTTTCTTTCGATAATTCTGTTAACATGGACTTAGTCTGGAAAAAACTTTCAGCTCTAATTTTTACACCTTTTGACCTTGAAAATTTTCTTAATCTCTGTGATTTTACTTCTTCAGTTGTACAGTAGAAGTATATAACGTGCATTTCATTGGTTCCTAGGGAGACATAAATGAATTAATATACATCATCAGTGTGAGTGTGGTGTACACAGTAGACATGCAACATATGGTAGATGTTGCTGCTGCTGTTTTTAATCTTGTACCCCAGGGTTAAATAGTCCCCATAGTATTTTCAGCAAATAAACCAGAGCTTAGATATCCAAATGAGTATACTACTCAAAGTTGTACCTTTGGGTGTTATTCATTTATTTCAATTTGGTACCATTGCTTAAAATATTTCTGCGTCCTTCTTTGGAAACTGCTATCAGAATACATCTAAAAGTTAAGGGTGTGGAGGACCTTTGCAAGGTATTCTTTGGTTAGCACACTTGCATTTGTAGGTATACTGCCTGACCCCAACACCCTGTAATATTAGCATCACCACTATGACATCTTAGTGAGAAGAAAATGAGCATCTGGAATGTAAGTTAACTGACCAAGGTCACATAACCAGGAGAGAAGGAGCTGAGCTCTAATACAAATCTAGCTAAAGGTCATGTTCTCCCCCTACATCATGCCATTTCTCAAGAAACCAAGCAGGACAGGACTTTATTATTTTACATTCACTATGTGTTTCAGAAGAAATAAGGTCCCCAGGTTTAGTTCATCTAAAATTAAAATTCATTCTCAAATGACCTAGATTAACCCTACTGATGAGAGTCAATATAGAATGTTCCATTAAGGGTATTGTATTATTTTTTTTTATTTAAAGTAATGTATGTTTACAACACTGTATATGATTCAGAGGTACAGGTGCACACCTCCTAAGCAATTCCAAATGAAGGACTTTTGATCACTGACGACTGGTACATGAATTGTAGTGGGTGTATGATATGGTATTCAAGGAGACTTTACAGAATCTGGGAGGGATATATATATATTTAATGTAATATAAATTAAATTATTAAATATATATTTAATGTATTATATGTTTGCTTTTATACTAGCCATACCTCATATTAAAAAGTAGTCTATGACAATAGTTTCATAACCTTGTCTTCTTTTCCGTGGTCCCTCCTCCCAGGAAGTGTTTCTAGCTGAGGAATCTGAAATTTCTTTATCATGCACATTCCATATTCCATGGAGTTTTTTCCCTAAGCCAATCAGATTGTCTTCATTTGATTGGTTGATTGGTCCAGGGAACTTTTTTTTTTGGAGGAACAGCAGTTTATTTATAGCTGATGAGGGAAAGGTTTTTTTAAAAAATTATTTTTTTATTTTTATATTCCCCATACAATTGCAGCCCCCTGATTTTGACCCCAATCCCTCCTTTCCCTGCCCCCCCAAGTGTGTCTCTGGTTCATAGTTGTTTGTTGATTTTGATTTTTTTCTTTCTTACAGTTATTCTTTTTCCTGGTCCCTTATTTAAGTTTTCTAGATTCCTGCTATGAATGAGACCATCCGGTATTTTTCTTTTTCTTTCTGGCTTATTTCGCTAAGCATGATCCCTTCCAGCTCCATCAAGGAGTGAGTGCAGCCAGGATTCACCAAAGAAAGATATTTCCACACGTGTCCTCTGCTTCTTAAAGAAGATAGGTTTTATAGACTCACCGATGTTTACTTTAGAACACTGCAGGTTTTCACAAGTGTTACACTTCCATCCAGAGCTGTCAGTAACGTGTGTTTTTTGCATATATGTTGATGTTTTAACCTAACAGCCTCATCAGTGCCCCAGCCTCATGCTTACTCTAGGGCACCACTCTACCAACTGAAGGATTAGACTCAAATTATGTCAGTGAGCCATCCTGTTTTTCCATGAGGTAGCTTTTTGATTTATGAAGTTGCTGTATCGGTTTCTTCGTTAAATCATCTAAAGCTTCTCTCTGGATAGGATTTGGAGGACATACAGATTTTTGAGAATGAACAAGCTTTCCCTTAAACTTTTAGAAGATCTAAAGCCTTGTAAGGAAGACATAGAGGAGATATTTCTTGAAGTAAACTGTGTGTTTGAAGAAACTGCCTACTTCCCTGAGGGAAATAAAACTTTCTTGAACATTCTCTCCAAACTTCATGCTTCAGCAGACAATGTCTTCCCCCTAGGAAGCTGGAGCAACAACTAGAACTGTCTGTCTAAATCATGCAAACTCCAGAGCTGGGATGGAGGTTGGGCAGTATAAGAGATTCTAATATACATTTAGCAAAAGTTAATGGGAAGTCCACAACTTAGGGACAGCCAATGGTGTTTCTGCTAATGACATTAAATATAAATGTAGTTCTTTTTCCTCTTTGGGACAAATCAACATGTGTGACTGCTGCACTTTTTTAAAATTATTGCTTTGCCAACAGGAAACACAGCTGAATAGAACTGCTAACGATGGCTACATAGAAAAGAATATTGAGACATTTATCTCCTTTCCAAAGCTTAGGAGAGCACCCTTCCTTCCAAGATTACTAATATTTATTAAAGTTAGCAGAAAATTCAAGCGTTATCTTAAAAAAGCAATCAGGACCGGATATTTCTACAGATAAACAATGTTTGGAAGTCAGATATTCATGACTGTGCTAGTAAATATTTAACTACTGGCTTCCTGGGAACAAACAAATAAATATGTAAGCCCTGATTAGTAGCATTTGCTGGTTGCTGTAAATCTTCCCACCATGTCTGATTTTATACTACCAAGTTGACATCAGTGAATGCAGAAGTAGTCCAATGTGAGTATAGTATTCCACCATATGCATAGCTATATGTAAATAACCTCAAATGCATAGGTAGTATGATGATATAGTGTAACATTTAATACACAACATAATACAAATTACTTTATATTACATATAGTAGTAATATGCAGTAAAATTATTTGAAATTTTCATTTTGAGTGCATATTTCCTTTTAAATGTAACTTATTTAAATGAAATGTACATAACTTAATTTTTAATAATGGTTGTGTTGAACAACCATTAATTAGCTTCTAAAGTTCCTGAAGTTTTAAGTTGGTTCTCAAGAGTTGTTTCATGCTGGCACAACACCGTGTCTCCATGAATTCTCAGGCTGGGAGATACACTGTCTTTGATCAAGACTTGGCAAAAGATTTATTTTCAGACTTGTCCCTCCTTTTCTTCCAATTTCATTTAAGTGTGACTCCCATCAAGACTGGTCTTGGATTCCACCTTCCATGTCATGATTGCAAGGATCCTAGTTCACACTCAGCCCCCAGGCTGAGCACTTGTAATGCTCTCTTCAGTCCCCACTAGAATGTCCACTGTGGGCTCACAGTCTCCCTGAAGAAATAGACCAAATGCAATGGAATAATTAATGTGATGGTTTTAAAATGTAATTGGAGTATCATCACCTGCTAAATATTTATCCAACACCTGCAGTGTGTTGGGTCCTGTTGTAGACTCCTTTTGGTAAACGATGGCAAAGAAATGGTCTCTGTTCTTTCACAGCCTCAATCAATGTGGGGAGGGCCACAGTAATTTTGTCTGTGGAGCCAGAGATGGCTTCATCTGACCTACATATTGCAGAAGGATGATGAGGGAACTACAAACACAGAAAAGGGTAGAAAGTTTTGAGCCAGGGGCATAACATATTTAGGGACCAGGAAGGTTGAAAGATTGGCCTGGAATATTCGGTTATGTGTCTGGTGTGGAGGAAAATGTTGAGATTGTAGGGTGGGGTCAAAGAAGATAATCTTGAATCATTTGGGATTTCTTAACTTTACTGTTAATGTTTCGCTCCTTCCCTTTTGTTGTATTTAATGTATGTCATATCCTTCTCTCCAAAAGGCCCTTGAGGAGAGAATTTGTTGCAGGGCACTTATGTGTTATCATTCATAAATGTGGGATTCAGCTTTTCTCCCTAGCTTCCTTTCATCCCTTTTCTATTGACGTGCCTAGATAATTTGCCTTAAATTTCATTGGACTTTAATGAAGTCTTGGCTCAAAAAATATGAGAGCAATAAAAGAAAGGAGAGGTAGGATCTAAGAGAGTTCTTTCCCTTGCTGTTTTATGTTTCAGTAACACTCATTGCCTCATTATTCAAATGTCCAGTTTGTTCTGCCCAGTTTGTGGGCTTCGGGACACCTCTGAATGTTTAATTAATAAGCGTGAATTCTCCTGCCAAGTGAAGCCACTCTTCATGGCCTCTGGTTGGCTATAAGAGCAATAATCCCATTTACCTACTTGATTGCTCTTTTTCTACCCTGACATTTACTCATCTGGGAGCCTTATCAAACTTCAAGAAGAAAGGACATTGCACTTGAATTTCAGCTGCGAGGCTTCCTCCCCTACACTACTCTGTTACTTCCTTTTGTAATGGGAAGGAAAGTAGAAGGGAATCCATCTTGACTTTCATTTTATTATGTCTAGAATTTTATGGAAAAGGAAGTTGATTTTATTTTTGCTTGTTTATTTGTGTTAGGGAAATTGGGGTAGTTGGGAAGAGTTTGAATGACTATGTATATATGTGAGTGCATATATATATATATATATATATATATATATATATATATATATATATATATATAATGTGCAGGAAAATGTATGAAATAAATCTCGAACAACACAGTGTGTTTTTTATCACAGAAATGTATCTTGACTTTTAAAGTAATTTTATTGAGCGCAGCTCTGTGGAGCTGTCTGGAGCCTCTGCAGTGCACGTTCAATTCCCAGCCGGCCAGGGAGATACCCACATGGCGTGGCAGACCTCTCATGTCTTGCCCGCTGCTCCCCTCAGCAGTGTTTTCAGTGGTGTATCTGTTCTTCTCCCCGATCTGTCTCTGGTGAATTCTCTTGCCCTCCCGCACCTCTGGCCTGTACCCCAGTTGTATAAATGAATAAATCTTTAAAAAATGTAATTTTATTGTCATCTACTCATGTCAGTAATTCAACTGTGACCAAAAATATGCTTGTGAGCTTAGAGTACCCCCCACATCATTTGCAAGTCAGTAAACCGATATATCTTTCTTAACCTAGAATCTTTTTTTAATAACCCTCTAGTCTAGAGACAGGATTCCAGATGACTTGCGATTATTTCTGAATCTCAGAATCCATTTTACAGTATGAACGTTTGCCCTCACTGGGAATATTTCAATGGATGCATTTTAGCTTTTTTGATGGCTCTAGGGATGTGTATGTATGTCTGGGATATCTTAGCATTTGTGCATTTTAGCAAAATGCAATATTCATTTTCTGGACAGTGACTATGGCTACGAGAGACATGGAGAAAGCCAGTGTGTCCCAGCTTTCTGGTATAATCCAGCATCACCGTCAAAGGACTGCAGCCTTGGTCAGAGCTATCTTAACAGCACTGGGTAAGTGAAGCCCTTGAAACTCCACTCAGTATTTTCTTGGTTTCCTAAGTTGGGATCAGAGAGAGTACATCACTCGTGAAGCAACATGGAATGTTGATAGAGCTTATTGATAAGAAGTGACTTCTGCAGAAAACTAAAGAGTTCTTTAACTGAGAGTGGGAACATGGATTTTAATACCTTTGGCTACTTGCTTCTGACAAGCCATAGCTATTGTTTTGGTCAGGTCTTATTTTCTGGAAAGAGATACCACCTTATTTTCTGGGCCCTGAGGGGATTGAGTTAGCACAAGTGGCTCAGGCTATTGCTCCCCGCTCTCTAGCTCAGGCTAGTGCTCTCTCCTGACAGATGAACTGAAGCTCTACAGAGCAACCCTGAACACTTAAAAGTGAGAACTCAAAAGTCTTGTCCTAGGAACTCCTGAAATGAGAAAGTCAAATTGTGCTTATGTTGCTCTCTTTTTTTCACTTACTGGTTACCCTAGCAGATGCTTAAAAAATTCCTCCAGGACTTGTTTCTCCTTCCCTTTGCCATCTCTATGGCATATAATAGATTTGGAAAGTGGGTTCATGGTCTATGGCAACCCTTTTCAAATTTTAATGTGTCATGAATCATCTAGGGATCTTATTAAAATGTAGTTTCTGGGACCTCCCTGGCGGCCTAGGGGTTAAGTCTCAGTGCTATTATCTTGACAGCGTGAATTCTATTCTGGCCAGGAAGCTGACCCACATGGCTCGGCACAGCAGACCATTCCTGTGTTGCCCGCTGCTCTCCTCAGCATTGTTCTGCTTCCCACTCTGTCTCTGGTGAATCCTCTTACCCCCCGCACCTCTGGACTACACCCCAGTTCTACACAAAAATAAATAAATAAATCTTTGAAAACAAATTTAAAAGATAAAACTTACTAAAAATAAAATATAGTTTCTTATTTGGAAGATGAGGGGGTGAGATTTTTAATTTCTAACAAGTTCCTACATGATGTCATGGAACTATTTGAATAATGAGGAACTGATGTGCTCTAAAGGCAGCCTCAGTGCTTCTGGTGGGTTTTCTATCATCTCAGTCATATTACTCATCATCTCAGTATTCTCACCTCACTTTCTTGGTTATAAAATAGGGGTAGGCACTGTTTCCTCATCTAGTGTTGACAGGAGAATAAATGAACAGACAAAAATGATGACAGAGATGTCTTGTGTTTCCTAAGCTACTCTGAAAACATGCTTTTTCAGCCAATTATCAACTATTAACTATTTCAGCCAACTGTTAACTATTGGGGGCTGTCTTAGGCTCTGAGCAGGGGCTTAGGAGCTTTTGGTGTTATTGTATTGCCATTGTCTAATTTGAGGGATCTAAGCTATTCAAACTATAAGATCTAGCAACATAAACTTAAAGGAATGTGGTATCAGAGAACAAAGTGCTATGAAATTTGAGGAAGAGGACTATAAAGGCATATATGATCAATTGGGCCTCCAATTTCCCAGCAAGAATACACCTTGGACATAATTGGAAGAGAACTCTATCAGGACAGCTCATATGATCACGAGATATGTTAGGTGGACCAAATTTTAAGCAACTCAGTGAACTAAAACCCCAAATAGTCAACCAAATAAATCAGGAAGATAAAAAGGAAAATCTGTTTATTTTTTTATTCACTAAAATGTCTATACATAGCTCTAGGTTGCTTGATAGTCACCGATCATCTGGCCAGTTGAGGTTGAAGAGTTGATGGTGTCAAGTTGACATTAGGATATGGTACCAGATAAAATATTTAACATAAATAAAAATGAATATGTTGTAAATGACAAAGGCCAACAAGAAGTGCATGTTGATTCTAAAAATTTGATTATCTAGATCAGTGCTCATGAAAAGAATTATAACATGAAGTATGTACATACTTTAACATTTTCTAGTAGCCACATTAAAAAAGTAAGAAAGAAATATGAAATTGATTTTAATAATACATTATGCTTAATCTAATATGTCCAAAATACTACTGTTTCAACATGCAACACTAATCATGTTTTAAGTGCTCAATAGCCACTTGTAGAGTGTCTACCATATTGGACAGCACAGCTCTAGACCCATTTGGAGCTCAGCTGTCAATTAAAAGTGATACACACATGCACACTCAGGAATAATTCTAATCTCCCTCTGTGTCATTAACAAAAGAGACCATTTGTTTAACATAGTATTCTGAGATCTGTGGATGGGCTGATGGTTCCGAAACTGGGGTACCCAAGGGAAATATCAGGTAGAGTGGAGGGCCATCAGAAGAAGGCAATGAGGATGGGCTCTTTGGTTGATTATCTCTGAAAGGTTAAAGAAGATACAATGTGATGATGGTGGTGGTGGTACATTTTATGTGTGTCCACCAGAACACCAATTTCAGTGCAGCCTTGAAGAGTGATACACCTGATACAATGTACCATGCAGGTCAGGGCTGTGGACAGGGGTTTGGCTTGACCTCACTTGTGGGAGTTGAGGGCAAAGTGAGTGAACGGGGCTACTCTCTGCAAGGATGCCCTTGTCCCAGAAGGCCACAGGGCTTTGTGGGAAGGTTTTCCCATGCTACCTTCTTCTCTGAGGTAATTTTACCTCAGTGGGATTGAATAAGAATCACAAACTTGTACTTTTAATCTGGCATTTGTGTTGAATGGAAAATGAAATATTAGCAAGGAGTAAAAATATGCTATGAAATAATCTAGTGACTCTTGAGAAAGGATTATTAGGTATTAGGGGATAGAATAGAATGATATCCTGAGGGTGGAGAGAAGACAGGAAGAACCTTTTTCATTAATCAGCTGCAAGTCGGATCTTCTAGCTGCTTTGCGAGAGCAGCCTCCAGGAAATTAAAACAGGTCCCTCCCTCACAAACTGAATCACCAGCTTTTCTTGCTTTCTCAGCCCTGTGGGTTGGCCTCCTCCTCTCTTGTGTGTGAGTCAGACATTGATTTTTCTTGGCTGGTTTAGACACTGATCTGATCCGTGGCTCACCAGGTAGGATCAATAATAATGTTTAAAGAGCTGCTCATCCTCCGATGGAGGGATAGCGGTCCTTCCACATTTGTTCAGCTCCTAAATGGCTGTCTTCTCGGACACTCAGTTCTTAGGAGCAGCTGCATGAAATATGTCTCACTCTTGCTCGCTTGCATTTTTCTAACACACACAACACGGCACAGACCACGCCACTGACAACTGTCAATGCTCCTCAGGTACCGGCGGATCGTGTCCAACAACTGCACAGATGGGCTGAGGGAGAAGTACACCGCCAAGGCCCAGATGTGCCCTGGGAAAGCCCCTCGGGGCCTCCACGTGGTGACCACTGACGGACGCCTGGTGGCCGAGCAGGGGCACAACGCCACCTTCATCATCCTCATGGAGGAGGTAGGTGCTGGCCTGGTGTCTGAAGTCAGCACCCACTCAGCAGCGAGTGGTGAGAAGCTAAGGCCTCTGGATGGAAATTAAAGGGGCGAAGGGAAGGAAAAGCATGCTTGGGTGTGTCCTGTCTCTTTCATCCCACAATACAGACTTCAGCTGTGTAGGGGACTCACTTGTCTCTGCACAGATGTAGGTCTGGATATATTCTTTGAAAGCCCCTGTTAGGGTTTGTTTTGTTGAAGGAACATTATCACCATAATTCCAACACTGTAAACTTTGGCAGAGGGGAATTCACATTGCATCTGTGGCTTTAGGGAGACTTATTTGCTTATTTCTAGACCTTACCCCAGTGTTTAGAAAAGACTTCCGAAGGGCCTAGAAAGTATGAATAAAAGGGTGAGACAAGATCAACAGCCTTTAAATTTATCTTTATAAAAACTGCCATCTGAGTTGCTTTGCCATCAGCTGGCTGGTCTGTTAGTTCACTATTTAGTGTTTTCTGTGGCCTGGGCAGTGAAATCAGACTGCAGCCATCAATCCAGCGTGGAAATGATTGTTGTATGCCTCCTGCCCCTCGATGAGGTGTTTCATCTCTACCCAAACCAGGGAGGTTTTCACACACTCCTTGCTGAGGTGGTAGGGCAAGAAAGCTTGCCTGACTTACAAAAATCTCAAATTTATATGCAAATTGCTCTGTGCTCTTGAGATCTTGGAAAGAGACCAAAGCAGGTCAGGAATAATTTTTTCGCCAAGTGTGAACACTTCAGAAACCTTTAAAGTTGGGCCCACACTGGCCAAGACGGTGAAGGTTCCTTATCCAGTGTTGACAGATTCTTCAGCCTGCACCCACACTGGGCTCTTGTATTAAAGGACTTTAAGATGCACAGGAGGTCATTATCACATTTCCACTAGGGAGTTTCCAGGACCAGAGCTATAAAAACCCTCTCTTGAATGTATGTGAAGAGCCATGATCTTATCCATTTGAATTGCCTCTAGTTCATTTCCACTTTAATTTATATTCATAAACTCAAGGGTAGTTGACATTGTGTGAGAAGCAAGGGAGCACCTATCAATATTTCACTCACATCTGGGTTGTCATAGGTGAAGACACAGAAAGTGAAACTGTGTTCAATGCACATTTCCTGGGCAGAAGGACTGGCTCATACTTCTAAAATGCTGGATTTCTCTTGATTCCTTCTATCCCCTTTGTATATAAAGAGAGATATGGTTCTTTCTTTTGAATCTGGAATCCTGGTTTTGTGATCAGTTTCAATTGATTTTATCCGAAGTTTTGACCCAACAGTTGGGGTGGGCTATGGAAAGAAGTAAAGGTCAGCCTTCAGAAGATGCACCCCTCTGAATCACTGGCATCACCAGGCAGCACCCAGGGCATCATGATCTTCCAGGGCACAGTGATCCATGAGCTGGGATGCTCAGAAGATGTTTCAGGGGAGGAGGCATAGGTAGGTTTAGGGAGCCTAAGATCAAGAGCACAGATGTAACTTTGGCTGCTATGCTGAATTTATCTGTCAAAATGGAATGGTTACCCTATCTCAGAGTTATTTTGAATTTGGCTTTATATAATGTATGGTTTATGATTAGCATAGTATTGGAACACAACAATAAATATGAAATATGAGAACAATTATGATTGTGGCATGGCATTTGAGCATTGGGGCTGAAAGCAGACTGGGTTCAAAACCTGGCTCTTTTACTACTAGCTTTGAGACTTGATTAATTTTTTTGCTCTAATTAATTTACTTTTGTCCCATTTGTAAAATGAGGATAGTGATACTTTTCTTCATTATAGACTTGTGAAAGGATTAATGGATTGGAACTGAAAAGAAACTTTATAAGTGTTGGCTGTTATTATGATTGCTGTTGTTATTATTCTGACATAGAAGAATAATTAAACCACATGTTTGAGGGAGCCAGGCAAGTGCTGGGCTTTCCCAGTTCAGCATCACAAAGGCCCTGCCTTATCCACTATCACCAGTGCTGCTAACTCAGACCGCTCCCAGCAGGGCATCAGGGACCACAGTTCCACAGTGTTTTCCCAGAGTTCCCTGTGGATCTCAGGGAGGAGTCTCTGTGATAAGGGTGTTGTGGCCTCTGAAGGAGACCATAGGCCTTCAGAAAGGGATGCTGGAAGCAAAGGCCAAAGGATCAGATGGGAGTCAGGCTGGACCGTGGAAATGGGCCCTGACCCATTGTTTTCCCCTTTTCAGGGTGATCTCCAAAGGACAAACATCCAGCTTGACTTCGGGGATGGGATTGCGGTATCCTATGCCAACTTCAGCCCCATCGAGGAGGGCATCAAGCACGTATACAAGAGCGCGGGTATCTTCCAGGTGACTGCCTACGCAGAGAACAACCTGGGCTCTGACACCGCCGTCCTCTTCCTGCACGTGGTCTGTAAGTAGCACAAGCAGCCCCTGCCTTCCTTCCCCCCAGTTGACTAACTCCTTCTGCCCTGAATTCTGGGGATTCAGACTGAGGTTGGACTTTGTGTGACCGCTGCCACAAGTGATGGCTCAGCTCAAGAGCTGAAATGTGTGGTTATCTGTTCCGGAGTTCTGTGATACTGAAGTAGATGGATTATTTTGAAAGTCTGGATAAAATTACCATCAGACTCTCCTTTTCAGTTCCTCTCTGATCTGATTAAGAGTGTGCATGCAGGCACTTTCAGGTAAAAAACCTTCCCTTTGCTTATATGATGCCTAAAAATACAAGCGGAGGAAACCCATCTGCTTCACAGTGTCGGGCTCGTTTCGAGTGACTGTGAGTGAAAAGGCACAAATAAGGATAAATTGTTACCTCCGTTGGAAGAACCAAAGGAGGGTTAAAGAAATACAGTTTAGAGTTTCTTAAATGTCAACATGAACACACAAAATAACTTAATTCTTACATCTAAGTTCACTCCTGTTGTAAATAGTTCTAAGAATTCTCCAAAATGCTTTTCTTTTTGTCTTATGGTGTATTTCATTGCTCATGGATTTTGCTTGCACAAGCCTAAACAACCGAGATCCTAAAATATTGTATATATAGTAAATGCATTTTGTGTATTTGCTACCCAGAGATTTGAGTTGGGAGAAATTGAAATGTAATACTAAGATTGTAGAATGTTGGGTCAAGGAAATGAGGTTATGGGTTAGTATTGGTTTCCTTTATTAGTGATGCCCATGAGTCTGGGGCTTCTCTGGTCCTTACATTCTCCACAAGGTTTTGGGTAATATGCTGCCTATGGTGGAAATTATGTTTGGAAAGAATGTTAGTGAATACAAAGGACACCTTTCTATTAACTAGGTGATGATAAAAAGTCCACTACATTATATGTACTAAATTAATCACATACAAATTTGACTATGTAAATCATCCACACTTGCAATCCCTAGTAAACAGTAAGCTAGTTCCCTAGGCTCTCTGGTCACAGTCGAAGCAGAAGGATCACCATGATAGGGTTGACAAAGGCAGTGCATGACTGAGCGTGAGCTGTGGGTCAGTGAATCTGTAACAAGGCCAGGCTGTGTGAGCATGCTCTAAACTGTGTCATCTCTGGGTCTTCCAAACTCTGATTTGAAAATGGCTTAATTCTTTTTTTTTTTTTTTAGATTTGTTTATTTATTTATACAAGCACTGGGTGCAGTCAGAAGTGCGGGAGGGAGAGAAAATTCACCAGATCCAGAGTGGGGAAGAGAACAGGCAGACTGATGAAATACACTGCTGAGGGAAGCAGCGGGTGGCAGGAGAGGTCTGAGCGCCATGTGGGACCCTCACCTGAGGGCTGGGGCTCGAACCGGCGCTGCAGAGGCTGCAGGCAGCTTTGCAGCCCAGCGCTCAACTGCTGCGCCACCAGGGGAGGCCCTTAAAATGGCTTAATTCTAAGTACTGCCTGGCATCACCAGGCTTTTCTAACAATAAATTGGAAAGAAAAATGAAACACACAAACATTAATTAATTTAGTCAATAAATATCTGTTGAATTTTTAATATATTTCAGGCACTCTGCTTGGCAGTGGGAAGGCAAGAATATAGAGATTGTCTTGTTTTTGCAGAGTTTATTTTAGGTTGGGAAGGGGAGGTTTTGATAGAAATGGGTCACCATTAAATGGCCCAAATGGTGATAATTCACCAACTAAAATTATGCTGTGCCAGAAGCACCAGGTCACAAGCCCAGCTGTGCAGGCTGTTCATGATCCCAGGATTTAGATCAAAGGAGACCCATGTTGGAATTCTCATCAAACTTTGTTAAATGTCTAATACTGTCAGTTTCCTTAGCCTTTATAAGCCTTGATTCCTCATCTTTAATACTTGGATTATAGGGAGACTATGAGAATGAAATGGAGTATGTATGTTTGAGGGATCCTCAGGGCCACCACCAGGCAGGTATTGCCCTGAAAGACTCACAGCATATTTGTACTTACAGCTATGATTTATTACATGAAGGACACAGGGCAGGATCAGCAAAGGAAAAGGCCTGTGCATAGCACCCTGTCAGAAGAAATCAGGCAGAGCTTGCAAGAGTCTTCTCCCCAGGGAGTCACATGGGATTTGCTCAGTTCCTCCAACCATGAGTTGCAACACACATGCGAAGAACTGTCTACCAGAGGTGCTAACTGGACACTGACTGCAATGGCCTATGGTTAGGGACTGGTTACCTAAGCATCCTCAATTAGCAGATACTAAAAGTCCAGGAGGAAAGCAGGTGTTCAGAATAAACCACACTGTTGGCAAAAGCTGTCTAGCTGGAGTGAGCCACTCTGACCAGTTCACCGTGAACAGGAAACACTGCTAGATGCCAAGTTCCCAGATGCAACCACAGCCAGCCACACACAGGGCTTTCTAAGAAAGGCAATTTCAGGTCCATGTTAATATTTTTCTGCACAGCGTGCAAAATTCTGCTTAGCACCCGTCTTGGCACATATGAATGGTAGCTGTTAAAGTAATTACTCAGTACTTCCCATTAACTTTTTGCCAGACACTTCTGTTACATTTGAAACTGAAAACAGAAAAAAAATCACTTCCTTCTATTCTGAGGACTTGTCCCACCCATGTTCCTAATTCTGCCAACAGTGGGCTTTGCCTGCAGGACACTAAGACGAATGCATCATAGTGGCAAAAAAACACAACAGCAAGGAACAGATTTATACTGCGGGTTATATGCATGAAGGAGGAAATGTTCCTTGAAACTTTTATCGTCCTCATAATTCCCTCCAAATCAATCATGGCTGCATTTACCAGACAGTTATTATAGTGGAAACTGCTCTTGGCCTCACCTTGGGCCATTAGCTAACAAAAGTAGTTGTTAGCCGCCCATAATAACCAATCTCACACAGATTATTTGATTTTGATCAAAAAGAGTACTATCTGACAGTGTGGATTTTAAGTTTGCCATTCCACCTGAATCCCTCAGCTCTCTTCTCTTCTCCTTCATCCATGAACTGTCTCTAGATTGAAGCCCAGAGCTTGTGGCTCAGATGTTCTGCCTATAAGCTCCTTGCATGGCTTTTACCCAAGCATGCTTGTCCTGCAGCTGGAATAAATGTGACTGTGTTTGCGGTGCTCATCCTTTGGTATTTGACTTGAGTCTAGGGAAACACAGGTCTGCTTTTCTCTTCTTGAGCATCCATACACCCAACCATGTGAGTCTGGCTGAGCCAAGTCTGCTGAGTGACAGAAAATTGAGAGGAATTTCCAAGGCCATGAGCCACAGCAACCTCACTGCCTGACTGTGGAAAAGCAAGGGTTCCTGTGGGCTGCTCAGTTGGATGGTCATCAGATCATTTTCCTGTGAGAACAGGAACCATGATTTCAGGGTTAAAACGGGGGCCTTTTCCAGCAAAGGAAGAGTGAGAGTTTAGCATCTGAACTTGGCGAAAGACTTTGAGGCATTAATGTAAGAAACAGGTTTCTCATCTCCTGTCTAGTACTTGGGCTGCCCAGGGACCACTTCCCACAGCCTCAGTCCCTGCTGCATTGATCAGTAAAAACTAACCACAAAGAGAGATAAATCACTAAGAGGTAAAGTACAAGAGAGTAAATAAAGCAGTGAAAATAGCCAATATCTTATCACACCTAAGGTTTTTTTTTGTTTTTTTTTTTACTCCCACCAACAATCAAACCATACAAAAATGCTTAAACAGACTTCCTTCTTCTATGTTTCCTTCTTGAATATAATACAGCCTTCAGAAAAATGTGTATCTGAGACAAGGCTGACTTTATTTTCTTCAAGAAATCTTGAGGGGCCAGCTGTCTGGGGTCAGCTCAGAGAGCCATAGGAAGATGATAGATTTCAGGCTGTAGATGCACAAATGCTTGCACACTCATTGATTGTTCAGGAAAGTACAGTCTGCTCAGTGGTGAGCAGACCTGGCCAGTCTCCTCACCCAACACCTGTCCCTCTCCAAACACCTTGCCCCTCAGTACACATTTACCCATGACCTGGATGTGCCCAGTGGGACCCAGAAGAACCCTGGGTGTCTTTGAGAGACCCACTGATACACAGAAGCAATGACGGTCTGGTGGCAGCAGTGATGGGAGTAGGAATAGTGCCAACCCATAACCAAGGGCCCTTCTGTCATCTGCACATCTCTTTCATATGTTCTTAGCACCATGCACAGCCAGGGCAAGTGTTGCCCCTTATTTTTGGGGTAGCAACTGTATAAGATTGAGGAAAAGATCATTCAGCTAAATTATGAGCGTGAAATAAGAAGCATCTGACTGTTTTCTTCCTTTTCAATTGACTCACTCCCAGATTTCTTTCCACAGATGCTATAGTAAAGGCAGGGTGGCCTGAAAATAACCCACCTTGAGGAGAACTCAAGGTCCCCGGGCTGAAGAGATGTCCTTGCTGCAGTGTGACCTTCAGTCACTTTTGCTCATCAAAACTATCTTAGTGGAAACCAGGAAAATAGGCTCTGACATAGTGTGAACAGATAATTAGAATATTTTAATTGGACTTGGTTAAGTAGGATGGACACAAGGAAGGGAGAGGGGAAAAGGGAGGAAGGAGAACAGGATGGAGGGAAGGAAACGGAAAATAGAAGGGCGGGAGATGAGGAAGAAACCCTGCAGAGCGCTGAAGAGCAGCCTGCCCACCCCACAAATACAACGCGGACACTTGATCGTTTTTCATCTGCATTTTCATATTCGGATTTTATTTTGGAAATGGATTAAATTAAAATCCTCCTTTATTATGCAGAGGGTGCTTTCATGTATCTTCTCTTACTTGCTAGTTTAAAACTTGACGCCGCTTATGTATGTTTTCTGAAAAAAGCTGTTTGGTAGCCATTTTTGCAAGTAGCTTATTTATTACTTGGGAACCTGGAATTGGCTTCTTGTAAGGCAGGAAGGAATGGACACAGAACAGGTTTTCTGATCCAGCAGACTGGATAAACGAGAAGAGAGTTCTGGAAGCCTCAGTGGCTTTTGCAAGCTTTTATTGGGATTTACCAGGTACATGGCAGGTAGGGGGGCTGGGAGGCCTCCCAACCCCCATCAAATCTTTACTCTTTCTGGGCTCTCTGGCATTCTCTGGCGGTCTCTGCTGCTTTGCTCTCTCAGTTTTTCTTCCGCTTCTCTGCTTCTGCTGGTGTCTCCGTGATGCCGCCCTTAAAAGCCCAGTCTTAGCCCAGGTGAATCCCGTCTACCTATGCCCACACCCTACTCCAGGTGCCCGCCATCAGGCATGCATTTGGGACCACAGGGTTCTGTTATCTATCCTAATGGTGGGAGGGCAGAAAAGCCTGATACTTTTACCTTACCCTACACTTCTCCCTCAACCTAGAGAGATATACATCTTCTTTTTTTATAAAATAGCCTTGCCTGCTCCCCAATCACACCCACTGCATATTGCATAGGAGAGGCACCATGGCCAGGTGTGGAAGGGATGAGCCCATTAGCGATCGAGGATAATGGAAGGGGCCCCCATAAAATGCACTGACCTCAGATCACAGGACAGGCTAATCATCAGAAACGCGAGCCTGCTGTTTATCTTCCTACTTATTGGCTAAGTGTCTGGTAAACCAGTTTTGCCCTTGGCTTGGTGCCTCCTAACTATTCCTGGTTGGGCCCAGCAGATGTAAATTAAATTGAGATGTCACTCAAAAGCTCTGAAGCCTGATTTGAGTTCCCTGTGATGTGCAATGCTCCATTTCAAGAGCACACACACACACACACACACAAGCATCCCACTGGTCATAAGTTTGATCCTTGTTTGAGTATAGGTGATAGTAAAGGGATTAAGGTTAAGAATAAGAGAGTCTGACAGAATCTGTTTATTCTGGGAATATCAACACAGATATTCTTTTTCTCATTCCCTTAGGTCCCGTGGAGCACGTTCATCTCCGAGTTCCATTTGTCGCCATAAGAAACAAAGAGGTCAACGTGAGTGCGGTCGTGTGGCCCAGCCAGCTGGGGACCCTCACCTACTTCTGGTGGTTCGGCAACAGCACGAAGGTTCGGGCTTTCTGATCAGTGTCGGGTATACGTGCGCTGAATGCTTCGTGATCCAGCGTCTGTGTTGATGTCAGGGCAGTGGGGGTGTGGGCGCGGGAGCACTGAGTGAAGCTGTGGGCCCACATCATCGAGTAAGGCATGTCTCCCCATGCCCAGGCCAGCATTTTCATAGGGACTCCCCACACACCCTAAGGAAGAAAGACTAATTTGAGAAACTATGCAAACTGTGTGTTCTTGCTCCTATAATCAATGTTTCTGAAGTTTCACTTCATCTTGTTTTAATCCTGGCCTTTCCACTCACTAGCTGTAGGGTACCAAGGAGGTCACTTAACAGCTCTGATTTTAAGTGACCCTACCCCCTCATCTGTAAAATGTGAATTGGTATCTAAATGGAAAGATGTGAACACAAATCCTCCTTAGACAAGGGGCTGGTGTGGGCAAAGAAAGGAACTAAAGAGGTCACGCTCTGGAATTTGCACAGATGCTCCCTTCTCCCAGTGACTGGGGATGGTGACACTGTGTCCAGGTGACACTTGTGTCCTAGGAGCTGGGAGCAGTTAGGTTGAGGGTCTCCACATTAAAGGGCTTAGCTTTCTTTATTGCTTCTTTTTGTCTTTGTGTTATCGTTGTTCACTCTGGATGTGGCTGACACTGTTCATCTTAGAGACCTTTCATTTGTCTTTAATACTTTAAGAAAGATACCACATTTTGAACTGCTGCTCATTTTAAAAAAGGAGAAATTAATATTCCTTTGCTGGTAGAATAATTCCTTTAAAAAAGGGATGAAACAATATTGGTTTTGTTTATTTCCCAGTAACCAAAAAGAACATACCCCCTACATGATAAGAGTGGGAGATGGTTCATCCCTGCCCTTTTTTCAGGAGGCAGATGGTATGGTGAAGAGAACATGACCTTGAAGTCAGAGATAAATAAGGGTTAGTTTTCCAGCATAGTCTCCTGCTGGTGATGTGAGCTTGATCGAGTCGTTTAACTTAAAATTTAATTCACTCAACTGTGACAAGGAGAGAATAATGCCTATCTTTGTGCTTGTTGTGAAAACTAGGTAAAATTATATACATCTCCCTGGTGTATACTAGGTACTCACTAAATGGATGCTTTTTATATTGTCATAAAAATCTGGGAGTTAGGATGGATTTATACAAGATAGACCTAGTTTCATGGACCCAAAGGACCCTCTTCTGTTTGCATTATTCATGATATATATGTATAGATATATCATATACTTATACATATAGATACTTTCGGGTCAGTTTCTTAGTATAGGCAGCTAATGCTTTTGCAATTCTGGGATTATTATTCACCAGGAAAATTGATAGAGAGGTTAGTTCAAAAGATCCCCATCTGGCATGCTATCGACATGAAGCCCCCTGCAAGATATGAGCATCCCAAGGTGAAAGAGCAGTTGATTACAGAGCCAGACCTAAAACCCAGGGCTCCAAACCCCCATGGATTGTAAACCCACCTACCCCATGCCCCATGATGTTTTGGCTGCATCACTACGTCTGTCTGCTGGAGGTTACAGACCCTTAAAATCCTATTTCAAACACTAGCAGATATAAGAAGTAAAAGACAAAAATCCTTGGGAGAAGAAAGTTAGCAACAGAGATGGGGGGATGGTTTAAGTTCATTTCTCCTTAGAGGATCTAAGGTTTTGGCTGTTAATCTGGGGAATTCCTGTCTGTTAGCATTCTTTTACCTGCTGATCTTTCCTGCAATACTACTGTGTACAAGCAGTTTTTGACCCTTATCAACATAGTGATCACTCAACAGCCCACAAGGAGCCAGAGGCACAGTGTTTCTCCACAGCACCATTAGCTTTTATACTAGGCTCTTCTTACATACTGCTTATTTTATCATTAGAGCATCACTGGTAAAGGAGAAATAATCTTATTTTATAGGGAAAGCACTGAGGTTAATAACCTTGGAAGTTGGTAGTGTGTGTGTGTGTGTGTGTGTGTGTGTGTGTGTTAGGCGTATTTTAGGATAGGATGAGAGTGACTTTCAGACTTACAGTGACTTTCAACCGTGAGATACTTTTGAAAAACTTTTAGATTTTTTGAGTATTTATGTGTGGGTATGTTTGAGAGAAGTTTTCCACTAAACTGAATTTTCACTTTAACTCCATAGTTATAACACATCTATAAAATATATTCTACTTTATTTCTTTCTGTTCTTTGCATGTATTTCAGATTTCATTGCACAATTCTAATCATAGTATATCCACAATTATACATTCTGCTTTTTACACTACATATGATAAGTGCTTTTCACACATTAGTATATAATCTGCTTAGGGTTTGAAGTTAGGCAAGCAAAGTGAAGCATAGTGAAGCATAGTGATTGTAAATTCTATTTAGGGATGGCGGCTTTTTATCAAGGTATACATTTATATTGTGGAGATTTTATAATATTTACTATTAACTTGACTTACTATGTCTGGGAAACTAGGGTAGGCTGGATCCAAAGATTTCCCTGAAGCTCCCTGTTCCATTAGTCAAGTGAAAATCTCATAACTAAATAGTCACTCCGAGCTTTGTCGATTTCTTGCTGGGTTCAGTGGATAATATGTGACCTGTCACACATGAGGGATTCTGTGTGGGCAGGGATGAAGCCCGTGGCCAGGCAGGGCTCCCTAAGAGGCCTTGCTCTGGGCTGGCCCTTCAACTTGGAGAAAGCTCACAGACAGAGAGTCCACTGGCCAACTGTTGGACTCCGAAAGGCCAATTTGGGAGATTAACTGAGGTCTGGCTTAATAAATGTGTCTACTTGCCTAATAGATTTAGTAAATGAACCTGAAAATACTTGATTTAATTTAGCAATGCACACTAGATAGCAGTGGCCAACAAAAAACTCAAGAATCCTGTTGAGTGTTCCAGCTTTGCACAGAAAGTGAAATAAGCCATGATGCCATAACAGCTGATGAAATACAAAAGCAATTTGGAAAACAAAATTAGCTCTTGCCATTTTTGGAGCTCAGAAGCCTGTGGCCTGGCCACCCCGGGACCCAGTGTTCCCATTCAGCGCAATTTGTTTGCTGTGGCTCAGAGCCCTGACCGACTGGTGGGATGGGAAGCTACCTCCCATCTCAAATGGCACTGCCTTTGCCTGCAGCCCTTCAGCCTTGCCTGGACCCTGGATCTCCTAGGGAAGCAGCAAACAGAGAGCTCTAATCTGCTAGGATGGAAGAATTGTTGGAAGGAGATGTCATTGCTCAGCACGCCACTCACACCTGAGAGGAAGACTAGAGTGTGCAGAGGAAGGAGAGGGACCACCTAGAGCACAGAGAGCAAAAGAAGGTGTCTTGGAAGGGCTGAAGCTTCCCTGGTGAGATGACTGTTAAAAAGGGGAGAAAGTGCCTGGCAGTGAGAGGTGGCCAGGGCAGTGAGCCAGGCGGAAGGACGATGTAACATCACAGGCGAGAAATCATAGTCAAGATAATTCATGGAACCAAGAAAAATTTTTAAAAATTGACTTTTCCTTTATATTTATCTCCAATGTTTTATTATGGAAAACTTCAAACATACACTAAATTTGAAATGATTTCACAGTGAACATCAGTGTTCCCGCCACCTGTAATCTTCCATTAACTTTTACTATGGTGGCTTATGTCTATTTATCTGTCCATCCTTCTGTCTAATTCCTCTGTTGATTCTTTCATTAATTTCAAAGTAAATATGTCACTTCTCAACTGAAATAATCACTATTGTGAAGCTAACTTAAAATTTAGTAAAAATAAAGTTATTAAAGAGATTATTCAAAACTATACTGAATAAATTGGGTTTGAATGAGTAACTGCCCTCCCCCCTCAGAGTTTTCAGCCTTGGTTTATATAAATAAGTTACATACCCAGAAAGAAGGTATGATTATTTTTCTTTCTTAACAGTGGAAAGAAGATATATAGTTAATATCTAACATGTTCAGGGCCTCCCCTGGTGGCGCAGCAGTTGAGCGCTGGGCCGCGAAGCTGCCCACAGCCTCTGCAGCACTGGTTCAGTCCCCAGCCTCCCAGAGAGGGTCCCACATGGTGCACAGACCTCTCCTGCCGCCCCCGCTGCTCCCCTCAGCAGTGTACTTCGTCAGTCTGCCTGCTCTGTTCCCCACTCTGGCTCTGGTGAATCCTCTCACCCTCCTGAACTTCTGACTGTACCCAGTGCTTGTATAAATAAATAAATAAATCTTTAAAAAAATCTAACATGTTCATCTAATTAAGGGAGATTGATTTCTAATAGACAGTTCATTGATAAAGGAGGGACAATGTTCAGAGTAGAGTATCCCTTCATCTGACAAAGTGAATTCTGTCAGGCTATTTGTGTTTGGGAAGATGGAAGGAACAAAGACTCTTTGAATCTCTCAGCCTAAAAGTGCCCCTGTAAACACAAGTCTGGTCATGCTGTTGTCTCCTGCTTCTTGTGTTTGTACATTTTGCAGACAGTGGCAGGGCTCACTGTGTCTATGAATTTTCCTGACATCCCTTTGCTTCTAGTCTTGGGTTCTTCATGGTGAACAAGAATCATTGTTCTACTGACTTTAAGCTTTGGAGGTGGCTCTAGCAGGGTGGAGATAGATATTTTTCAACAGAGCAAAAAAAAAAAAAAAAAAAAAAACACAGAATTTTCTTTCTTGATCCATACTCTTAATATATTTTGTCCTAGATGTTTTAGCTTGAAGATCATTAATTAGATTCAATATATGTTTACCCTTTCCCCCTACCAGGATATAAATCAACAATAAAATGCACAAACATGAAGTGTTTATGCTCTGAATTACCCAAAGTTGGGTCAAGATACATGATTTTACATCCCTCCCCTCCCAGAAGATCACCCATGAATCTTCTCAGTCATTTCCCACCCCTTCTCCCCTGAACCAGCCACTCTCTATTTTTTCCATCATAAATCTATTGCCCCCAAATATATCTTTTTGGCAAATGGTTGATTTCATGGGAAGGGCTCTGAAGGCTGGGTGGAGGTTGCCTTTAATAAGATATCTCCATGCAAACTTCTGGAAGGGCATGTAGGAAGACCTAGTCTCATTTATTTTCAAAGAAGAAGGTAGAATTTAAATTTGCATACTTTTGTCTACTGTGCCTTCCCTGTAACATCCCTAACCTTGCCTTTTTACCCCACCCCCCAAAAAAATCCTTCTGTCTTAGCTAAGTTATTTTAAATGACATCTGAAGCCATATGAATGAGTTAACTAGTTATAATGGGTCTTTCCCATGAATGCAAGAAATAAACATAATATTTTTTTTCTCTTATGAATCTGTTATGCTTTTTTCATTGTTTGCCAGCCTAGAAAAATCCAGAGGAATGTATAGGATGATTTTCTTTGCATGTAGAAATTCATATAAATGTAACTACACCACATAGATTCTCTTGTATAAAGCTTCTTTTACTTCTTATGGTTTTGGGGCTCATCCATACTGTTGTGTATATCAGTATTTGTTCTTTTTATGTTCACTGTATGAACATACCGTGGTTTGTTTATTCATCTTCCTATTGATGAATTCTTGGAATGTTTATTGTTTGGGGCTTTTATGAATAAGTTGCTATGAACATTTATTTGTTTATGGACATATGTTGTCTTTTCTCTTGACTAAATACTTAGGACTGCAATTGTTAAGTCATAAAATGTAAGATGCTACAATTACTTTGGGGAAAATAATGTGGTTTCTTATAAAACTGAACTTTCTCTTAAGTGATTATACCATTTTATATCCTATCAAAAATGTATGAGATTTCCAGTCACTCTACCTCCTCATAATATTTGATATTATAATTTTAAAGAAAATTTAGCCAATTTTTTGGTTCTCTAGAGGTGGCTCATTTTCCTTTCAAAGTATATGACTAAGGGACTGAAGCAATTGAAGGTGTTCTGACAGATAAGACCTAACATGTTGACCAGTAGGAACTATAGAGTTTGCCTAAAGCCATTCATCCATCCTTTGAATTCTGATTGCTGAATGAGTCCTCACAGCTCTTCTAACCTGAGCCCTTAATTTAATTAGTAAAGTACTTACTGCTCAGCTGAGAATGAACTTTGCCCAAGGTCATTCATTAAAATAGTAAGAGCCAGAGTCCAAGTCTCTGTTCTTCATCTCTCCCAGAGAGGTGGCTCACTGGCACATGTGCTGTCATTTCCTCAGTCCATGGCCATGGCCAATATGGTTAGGCTGAGCCCAACTTAACTCCAACTTCCTTCTCAACACAGTACATTCACCAGTCACTCCTGGCCCATTGGAGTTGATGTGCATCACAAAAACTACTGCACCTCATCTGTTGTTTAATCCAGAAGCTGATGCCCTGTGTGTGCCATCACAGAGTAACAGGGGGGAATCCCCATGGAAAGGGGTAGTTCCAGGTTTCTTGCCTCACTCAAGGAAGGGTGGAGCTGACCAAGGGGGGAGAAGTGAGAGAAAACTGGAGAAAGGAAGTGAGAGCAAGGAGAAGACCTGAAGGAGGAACACGGAGCAGAGACATGTGAAGAAGCTGCTCTTGTTTCCAGGCCTTGGTCTTATAACAGGGACTTGGGGGACATGGAAGGAGACACTTGAAACAGACATAGGTGAGAGACTGGTAGGGAGGCTGGCAATGGAAGCCTTTATCTTGATGTTGAGTTTGCTCTTTTCCTTCCAGCCTTGTCTGGCTTCTTCTGCCCTTATTCTATGGGTCCCCATAGAAGTTGCCTTAGACTTGTGGCGTGGTCCTGCTTTGGGCCATTCCTGTTTGTTTGGACATTTACCCACACGGGGATGGGTAACTTTGGGTCCTTCATGGGGAAAGAATTTTAACTATTTTTTTACCCTTCTCTCTATTGCACACCAATTGTATTAATTTTCCTTTCCATTGAAGGTCATATGCAGTAGAGTATGTTTTGTCTTGATGTGGCAAATAGCAGAACCACTTATAGCAGGCAGGTTTGGGAGTCTCTGGGTGCCCCTCAGCCTTCCCTGAAACAACTGTACCATAAGTAAGGAGAAGAATACTGGAACTCACAGTTTATCTTTAATTAAGGGCAAGAGTATATCTCTTTCCATTTTCACGTCTTTCTTTCATTTAGCAAACAGAGAAGAAAGGATCAGAAGCTAAGGGCCATTCCTCTAACCCTTCACAACTCCAGCCATCAGTCTGACAATAAGATAGAGCATAGCATTTTAAAGGAGACAAAATCAAATTATTGTTTCAGAAGTGAAGTTGAACATTCTGAACTAGCAAAGAATTCCAAGCTTGTGGCAGTGACACTGGCTGGAAGCTGCCTCTCTGAGCTCTGTGGGATCTTGTGCACATACCAGGTCATGTTAAGAGTCCAGGGGTGCTGGGGTGGGCACTGGCTAGACACCCACACCAACTGCATTGTCACTCTGTCCCGTGTAGTCCTGACTCCAAGGGAGGGAGTCTGCTCATCTGCTTTCGCAACGTCTCTTTGTGAACTTCCTTAGAACAAACTCCTTCTGCTGTCTTACCTTACAAACTGTAGAGGGCTTGAGAGGGCATGGGCTTTAAGATGATGATAGAATAAGGACTCTTCACCCTAAGCATTAGCCGTTCTTTCTCTCCCTTTACTCTTCTTTCAGCTTTTATCAAGATTCTAATTTCTAGAAAAAATTACAATTATTTTGTTTCCCTTTTTATGCTTGGGGTGTCTCTATCTGCTAGATAAGATCAGGAAAATAAACTAGAAAAGATCAGAGAAATGCATATTTAGATATTTTCAGCCAATTAAAAATGTTAGAAATGCCTTGCATTGGAAAATGCAGATACAATAAAACAAAAGCCCAACTATATACCATATTTCCAACTGACATCATCTGATGTAAGGTGATAAGGGTAAGTGCTACAGAAGAAATCAAAATGTGATCATTGCTCTGATGGGTCTTTGAAAGGTCTTACATCCCAATGGAATACAGGATGAAAATGTAAGTGACGGAATATTGGCACAGAAGGGAAATGATCTAGTCCCCAAGCCTACAGGAGAAGGTTATAAAAGCTGCTGCTGCTTTGCTCCAGGAAAAGGAACAGAATGGCATACAAAATCCAGGATGCCCAATCTTCTCTCAGGATTACATTTTACAGGGTATTTCAAATATAGTAAAACTTCCTGGATACTGGATATAGTCATAGTGAGGAAGTTGTGTAAAGTCATATTTTTCCTTTTATAAATCCAGATCCGTTAGGGATATGCAAATGCAAATAACTGTGTGAGATTTATGGGAAAAGAGGAAACCTGATATCTCACAGATGACTAAATGGGTATTTCTGATTCTCTCCTTTTAGCCCCTCATCACCTTGGACAGCAGCATTTCTTTCACATTCCTTGCAGAGGGAACCAACACTATCACAGTGCAGGTGGCTGCAGGGAATGCACTTATCCAGGACACAAAGGACATTGCAGTTCATGGTAAGTCCTAAAAATGATCCCGCTGCCCGGCCCATCTCCTGCATCCACCCTGGCAGCAATTGCTGACTTTCCCAAGCCATTAGAAGATGTAAGTGCAGAAGATGTATCCAGTCCTAATTTGTGACTTTTCCCTGGCTAGAGATTGAGGTTTTAAGAAAAGTAGCTGACAGATATTTGTTGTCTTTTGTGAGTTGTTCCCATTAGATGTGTCTCATAGATTAAAGGGATGATGATCTGAAAGGGCCACCTTTAAAGCAGTGAGAGCTGATATCCTGCTGAGGTATCTCTAACATACATGCAAACTCATTCTTTATGTTGATGAGGACCAGTGGTGTCAAAAGCTGGAAGAGTTTTGGTCCCTTTTTTGCAGGATTCATAAATCATATACTGAGATGAACTACACATAACCGATGAGTGTTCTTGATTGTTGGAGATTCTAACATCATTAGCTGCAAAGGTTCCAGAATAAAGCTAAGAATGTAAGATCTAGAGCAAGGCAAGTAACCGGGCCACTACTCCATTCTTGATCATGGAGAACCATCCCTAACTGCCAAACTTACTTTAAATCAAATTATGCTTCTACAGCCATCCCACACAATCTCTCCTAGGCCACCAATAACAACCACCATATCTGGGATTTTCTAGAAAATTGTACTGAGGTATATGATCCTCTGGGTCAGACCATACTTCTCCCACCTCTCTTCATGAGGATTCTCTCCCCTTCTGCAAACTTGCAACTCAGACTCTCTGATTGGGCACCTGGAAGATTTTTTTTAAGTCAAAATTTTTAGAAGTGTAAATTTAATATATAAAAGTACACAGATCTTGAGTGTTCAGTTTCATGAATTACTACCAAATGAATGGACCTGTGTACCAACCAGCCGGATCAAGAAATCAACATTAGCCACATCCTAGAGAGTTTCAGCCCACTTTTTAATCCCCCAAGGCAGTGTTCATCCCCTTAATGAACAAAGGAGTGGAGGGGAGGGCATGTTAAAGTGTTTTACACCAACCAAGTCCAACTTGTTAGTGCTTTATTAGTGGCCCTTCATGAGAGCACCTGGAGTAGTAAAAGTCTCCTTCTGGGCTTTCACACAGTATTATTTTACCAGGAGAAAGGCTTCAGATCTCAGGAACTAATAAAAATGATAGGAGCATGAATGAAGCTACTTCTAGTCACCAAATCCTGCCTTCTCTCAGAAGCCAAGAAACAGGCGGAAAACAGGGAATTTCAGCTGAGACCACATGAGAGTCTAGACCCTTTCCATAAACGCCATGATTCTCAGTCCCTTGCCTAGCAGACCTTCTCTCCTCTCGCAGAATATTTCCAGTCCCAGCTCTTATCATTCTCTCCTAACCTGGATTACCACAACCCGGACATCCCCGAGTGGAGGCTCGATATTGGCAATGTCATCAAACGAGCTTTGGTTAAAGTAAGTTGACTTCATTTTTGCTTAAATGTTTGTGAATAAACAAAAGAACCAGATGGTGGGGCTCAGAATACATATCAGTGTTTTAACCCCACGACTCCACATTGATCAGGATCATCTCTCTGTTAAAAAGAGCAAAAAGAAGAATGGAGGGAGTAAAGGAAAATGAAGGGGGTGTGGGAGAGGGGAACAGTGTTGTTTGAGGATTGAAATTGGCCTTATCCTTATGCTCAGGTTTTCTAAGATGGGAGCTCAATCCTTAATGAACTAGTGAAGAGCCCACTTACTGAGTTTATCTCACATCATCCACTTGACCTGTTCTTTGCCCACCCAGGGTGTTTCAACATTCAGTCTCACAAGCCTACCTCTGGCCATGATGTCAACCAGAAGGATGAAGATCAGGAAACAACATGTTGTCAGGGTGATAGCATGAACCCAAGGTCCCTTTTGCCTTAGAAAAAGTTGATTTTTTTCAGCGCTAGGTACTGGAATATAATGACATATCTGCACAATCAGTTCCAATGTAGAGATAAGCCATGCACAGTAGTTCACAGTGAGGCATGCCTGTATTTCAGAAGAACATGGGAAAGGTGTGGTTCACTCTATCTAGGAAAGTACAAGCTTAGCAGATGTGTATTTCAATAAATACTTGTAAACTGGTAGAATGGTCTTTGGCAGCAACATTTGAATACTGTTTTAAAGGATAAGTAGTAATTAACAAATCGACAGAGAGAGGATGGTATCTTTCAGATGGAAAGAGCAGGATGCATTAGCCGTGGACTATTGAAATAGTCCAGCATGTTTCCCAGTGATGCTTGAAGCTCGTCTACAGTTGGTAAGGGAAGCATGGCTAACATTGAGCTTGGGTGGTGTTAGAGCAGATTGTGAGGATCTGAGAAGCTAAAGACACATCTGGTATGCACTGGAAACTGAAAAGTATTGTTTGCTTAAGAGCAAAGTGCTGATGGTCATTTTTGTATTTCGGACACCCATTCTAGTGGCAACACAGAGAAGATGGGCTGCTGAGGTAGGAAGTGGATGGGGGGGGGGATTTCACAAAAGATAATCCATTAAAGTGCTAATTATCTAGGCCAGAGAAAATAAGAACCCAAAGAGAAAAGATTCAAAGGTTACTTAGGAAGTTGAACAATAGAATTGGTGATTAACTTAGTGTGGATGAGAGAGAGAGAAAAGCATTCTCATGGTAAGATTTGGCAAACAGTGGTCTTGTCATTAATCGAGATGGTGGTTCTATAGCAGAAACAGTCATGGGGGACAGTAATGATCTGATTTTCAATATGAATTTGGAGCACATGAGAAACAATTGGGTGAAGATAAACCAAGAGTGTTCAAAATACGGATCTGAACGTCAAGTGGAAGTTCCTGGTGGTGGTATAGACATGAGAACTGAGGCTGTGCTGGTTCTGAGATGCCCCCAGATCCAGAGAAGGATGTGGAGGAGGAGCTGACATGAAGAAAAGAGCTTGAGAGAAGATGGTGTAAGAACCACTTTGTGGGGAATTGTCTGCAAGATGACCTTCATCTCCAACCTTTTTTACAAGGAGATAAAAATGAGACTGTTCTTACATGTCTTTCAGTGTGAAAATCCAGAATTGTATTGTATTTTATAATCATATTAATTAAAACCATATTAGCTTTTAAATCAATAATGTAGTAATGATAATAGCAGTATTAATAATCAGCCATGATAGTTTATGATTAGACTTAAATCATGAGAACCTAACTGTCGTATGTACTTTTGGACAGGATTAAGTGAATCTAGGCAATCAAATTATTCTCCAGACAACCTTTCCCAGTTTTCTAAATGTGGGGTATTCTAGAAAGTTGTGCTAAGGTATGTGATGCTCTGACTCAGATCATATGTCTTCAGCCTCACCAAGGTGCATGTGCAGACACACTTTTCCATGGTCTCTTCAGTGCCCCTAACAGACACTCCTGAGACCACTATTCTCTGGGACAAAGGCTTGCACCAGTCTTGGAACCAATAAGCCATGTCTTCTTCACCCATTGGGTGATTTCCCTGCATTTTGCTCCTCAGTCCGGTCTCTGGAGACTCACTTCCTCTAGCTGGTGGGATTAAGTCTCCTTGCCCCATGGATTTGGCATCAAGACTTCTGGCTTCTCAGGGTCATGCCTGCCAGCAGGATGTTAAGATAACCCTGCCTCAAGTTCCTTGGGAATCCTCCCTGCTAGATGGACTTCCTGGGGTTCTGACTGTTGCTTGCTAGTTCTCTCTAAGTTGGTGCTCTCACTTTGATCACATCTGTGGGAGTTAACTCATCTGCTAGCTGAGTTCCAAATAGGAATCAGAGCTGAGCAAATGGGAAACAACTAAGCTCTCCATTCCTGCTCAGTCACTGTATTCAGCCACTACTCCCTATCAGGCATCTTTAGAAAAGTGAGGGAGCCACAAAGAACCCCAGAAACATCTGGCTGAATATAGAAAATAACTTATCTGAGAAAATATTATACCTGCCAGGTATACCTCATATCCACTGTGACCCTGAAATGTGCTGTGCTTACTAACCTGGCAGTGCTTGGGGATGAGAGGCTGAGGGGGAGGCTCAAGTCAGGGGAGAATGCTTGGAGGAGGTGGAAATTTGAGCCAGATCAAAACTTATATATCATATTTGGATTAGCAGAGGAGAAGGTGTTGGTCTGGATAAAAGACCTTCAGGAGATAAATAGGAAAGAATAATCCTGGGTGTCTTTGGAACTTAGGTCTTTGCAGGGGGAGAACTCAGAAGTTTTGTTTTCTTTGGGAATTTGCCTTTCAATTGAAGCTTATTTTAGTTTTTGTCCAAATGCAGTAAAATCCTTCTACTACACATTTCGGAACAGGAAAATTCAGCATCTTAATACAGCTTTTAGTGTTTGATTTTTTACTTCTGTACATTTGTATTTTTATAGAGTTATAACCAAAGAAATGGATGAGTATAGTGTTTATCCTTGTTGGTTCCTTGTACTGATTATCATCTTAATGGCAGAATACCATTCTTTCCAGTGATGACGCCATTATTTTTTAAATTTTTTTAAATATTTGAGTTTTTTATAATTTACTTGCTGTTATAAAATGATGTTTCTTCCTACACACAACTCTTCCTATATTTTGGATCATTTCTTAAGTACAAATTCCCAAAGTTGCAGTTACCCAGTGAAGGGTATAAATAATTTCGTGGCCTTAAAATCTTTTGGAAAACAAATTGGCAATATGTTTCAATTTTCAGTGCTGCCAGCAACAAATGAGGGAACCCCTTAACTAAAGGCTCACCAATATTAGCTGTTTTTAATTTTTTTAAAGTTCTGCTTTACTAAATAAAAACAAGTGCTGATTTACTTTTTTTCCAAAATTTTCATTTTCCCATGTTTGTTTATAACTTTTTACTCTTCATTTGCAGCCAGTCTGTTTATGTTTTAGCCAGAAGCTCTAGTCCTTTTAGTGCAGGGGAGAAAAAAAAAAAAAAAAGGATAATATGGGAGGGACTTTTGCAAATGTTCCCAGCAGGCAGTATTTTGAACATCATTTGTATTAGTATTTTAGTTTCAGGGAAAATGTATATAGGAACAGAGGACATAGTGGAACTAATTCTTTATCTGGCAGTTTCTAGGGGGAAAGTAAAAGAAAACCTTGGTGTCTTTGGAACCTATCTCTGAAATGATGCACTTTGAAAACAGCCTTATTCCTGCACAGTCTCCTTCTTCAAAAACAGCCTTATTCCTGCACAGTCTCCTCCTTCAAAAACAGCCTTATTCCTGCACAGTCTCCTCCTTCAAAAACAGCCTTATACCTGCACAGTCTGCTCCTTATGGAGCTGGGGAGGTCTGGCTCCTCCAGGGCCTCACTTTTTCTTCTAAACATCTTTGCAGGTAACCAGTGTCCCAGAAGACCAGATCCTCGTTGCCGTGTTCCCTGGCCTCCCCACTTCTGCAGAGCTCTTCATCCTGCCCCCCAAGAACCTGACAGAGAGGAGGAAAGGCAATGAAGGGGACCTAGAACAAGTATGTATAAGAACACATGGCTAGGATGCTTGTCCACACCTCACATTTTACTACCAACCCAAAGGGGAGGCAGCTGTCCCCACAGCCCATCAACTCACCTTTCTTGATCCAACGCTCAGGCTCTGAAGACACTTTGCCTCACCCGGAACACACACAGGCTTGCACAGACAGGAGCATTCAGCCACACAGACAAAAGGGCACCCCTGGCACCATTCATTCCAGCATTGGTGTCTCCACCACGTGCTCGGGCCTCCCACCCAATGTCTTGTCATGGGGGCCAAGGAAGGGTGGAATGTGAGTGTCCCCATCTGTTTCTGGGCCAATGTGCTTCTTGTATTTAAAGATCCTACTCACTGTAAGTTCTGCTACTGGGGATATAATGAACTGCTTTGAAACATCGTCTTTCTTTGGAGAGAGATGGATTATCTCGCCTTGCTTTGACTGAGGAAGCAGCATTTCCGAAAGGGGTTGTGATTTACTGTCTTTAGCACAAGGGGATTTGGTTTGTAGGATCTGCATACTATCTCAGAAGTAGAGGAGAGGACAGAGCCTCTGTTCCTCCCTCTGTCACAATCTGCTCCTCCCAGGGACTTAATTGGTGCGCTCACTCCACCCCCACCCCCTGATGCTAAGTCAGAAGTAGAAATTAGTGAGAATGAATCTGCTAGAAATCCACAAGCATTAAATACACTTGCTCCCATGTAAGGTTGTCATTGTACAGATGTCTTCCCAGTGTCCCTCTGCTACTCACCTGGCTGCCACCTGCCCCCCATGTCCATCCACACCATAGGTGCCAGCACAGCCAGCTTCTCTGGGAAACGAAGCAGATCTGTGCATGGCTGGGTTGCATATTGAAGTTGGCCAGAAATAAATTCAGCCTTTCAATGCATACATCACTTTTACAAGACCTCTTTATTCTGAAATAGCAAGTGGCATGTGTGAACTATATTTGGAAGCTACAATATCCATCCATTTAGATAAATAGGTAATTAACGTGATGAATAGCAGCTGTGATATTAAGGCTCGTACAGCGAGATAAGAGTTAGGGACAACAGCCTAAGTCTGCCTTAGCTTTCATGTGGGAATTACGGAGTGATTAAATCGATGTTATGTGTTCTAAGACTTGCTGGGGAAAAGTAAAGAGGAAAAATTATCCCATAAAAAAGGAAACAGCTTCTGCTTTGGAGTTTGCCTCCCATTGTCTCTGGGAGAGCAAGCAGAGGACTGGCAGGGCCTCACTAACCTTTGTGTATCAATTGATAAGATTAAAGGACTAATGATGGCTTGATTGCTTACACTGGAACCCACAACAGGTCTTTCTATGGTAAATTATAAAGTCGTGGATGAAAGAGCTGTGAACTCGGAGTTGAATAAAACATCTATGTCAGTTACCAACTTGACTTTACTAGGTGACTTTGGACACCCCTTTTCTGTCTCACCCTCTCCCTCCTGGATCAGCAGATAATACCACCTGTTTCCTTGGCTTCCCAGGGACCCAAAGGCTGTGAGACCTCAGCTGATAAAAAGACACTAATACCCCATCCTCAGACTGAGCACGGTCATCTTTTGCCCACTGACCTTTGTTTCTTACACCACAAGGGAGATTGCCACACATCATGTCTTCCCTTCCAATCTCTCTCTCTCTCTTCTTTTCCCTCCAGATCGTAGAGATGCTGTTTAATGCTCTAAACCAAAACTTGGTACAGTTCGAGCTGAAGCCAGGGGTTCAAGTCATTGTGTATGTCACCCAGCTGACATTAGGTGAGTGACTGCAAGGATTCGGGAGGAAATGGACTTGGTGATCTGTAATCCTGGAGAGAAGAGGGAGGGAATAACCACCAACCCTTCTTGAATGCCTGAGAGAAGCTGTTATGGCAGCAGTATTGTGTTGTGGTGGTTCAGAAGCATCAATCACATCACGCTAATCACATCTTTCTAAGGACTTTGCCCTTAGTTGGCAGGAAGACTTCCTTAGAATGGCTTTCTATGTAGTCCCTGGTGATCTTGGGGAAAAGCTAAAATTTCTTTGGGTCTTGACTTTTTAATTTTTAAATCTGTAATAGTTGGGATTATATTAAATAGTTGTCAGACTCTCTTAATTTCTACCATTCTCAGATTCCGTAAATCTTGGTTGGGAGACCCGACCAGACAACCTTAAACTCCCTTCAATTTATAATTGTAAATCTATGTAGGAGCAGGCAGGCATTCTCAGGTAGTTGGTTGATTTGAGAAAGGAATAAAAAGGCATGTCCTGCTGGATCCAGTACTGGTTCTCTGGGAAAACCTATTTGATCATTTAGTATCAGAATGTTAGATGCCACTGTTCCAAATGTGTCCCCCAGCAGTGTCTTTCCCCACAGTTCCAGGAAGAGATTGAAACATTGCATCAGCATTAACCCAGAGTTCCCAATGGGCCACCTATCATCATGCTGACAGGTACTCAGGCTGCCTTAGAGAAAGAACATCTGAGCTCTTCTTCTGTCCCCTATACCTGAACACACACTGCTTAGTCAACATCAATAGTAAGGTTCGCCAGCAGAGCAGAGGAGTTTGCTTTCCTGAGAAGCAGTGGTCAGGGGTGGCATTCTCATTGCTACCCAGCTTCTCATGCTCAGTGAGCTTGCAGAGTGATTGGGGACTGAGTATGGATGTAGAGACCATCTGGTCTCCTCCAGTAGCCACTCCCTCCAACCAGTTTCTTCCATGTGAACATATCTCTTTTTTGCTCCTAGCCCCCTTGGTGGACTCCAGTGCTGGGCACAGCAGCTCAGCCATGCTAATGCTCTTGTCAGTGGTATTCGTTGGTCTGGCTGTGTTTCTGATCTACAAGTTTAAGAGGTATGCTGCTATCACTCAACTTTGATCTTGGGCTGCATTCATGGGGTAGCTGATTGTTCTAACAACCCATGTTTCCAAATATATGTAGGAATCTCCTTGAAACTCTTTTTGCCATTGGAGAATATCAGAAATAGTTGAGAGTCAAGGAAAATACATGTTTAGGAATATGAGCTCTACCTACTTGATAGGTGTAATGAGTTAGGAAGATGAGGGATGACCTGTGAAATCAATTTATTCTCTTTGAGAGAAGTGTAAAAAAGAATTTGAAACCTCACCTAAATCTCTGAAGTAAGGTGTTAAGTATTATCCAGATCCTTTTCTGTAGCTGGTCACCCATTCTGTATGGTTAAGTAGAGAAATTGCTGCTGAAATCTGGTGTGAATGTGTATAGACACACACACACAAACACACTCACACACATATTGCCATTATCCAATATCTGTTTAAATTTCCATGCTAACAATATATTCAACCCCTCCCTCTCTTTCCTGTTTCTAAAGGGAAATTGATTAGGAAAACTAAATTCTACATGTATTCACAAATATTTTTGAAGGCCACAAGAGGGATATTTTAACAAGATATTTATTTAAAAACATGATATCATTAATTCTGTACATGTTTCAAAAAAGGTTATACTTCAGCAAGAGGTATACTGGTTAAGAGTATGAACTCAATTTTAACTTGAGTTTGACCTAATTTTACCTTTTAGTATGTAACCTTGGGCAGTTAAACTTGCCTCTCTAAGTCATTTTTTTTTAATTAATTTATTTATACAAAAGCGTGGGAGGGTGAGAGAATTCACCAGAGCCAGAAGCGCAGGAGGATGAGAGAATTCACCAGAGCCAGGGCGGGGAACAGAACAGGCAGACTGATGAAATACACTGCTGAGGGGAGCAGTGGGTACGGCAGGAGAGGTCTGCACGCCATGTGGGACCCTCGCGCTGGCGGCTGGGGATTGAACCGGTGCTGCAGAGTCTGCGGGCAGCTTTACAGCCCAGCGCTCAACTGCTGCGCCACCAGTGGAGGTCCAGGCTCTCTAAGTCTTAATGTCTTCATTTCTTATATGAGGAAGATAATACTGCTTTATAGGTTTCCTGTGTGGTTTAAATATAATAATAGCAATACCTGGTCTATATTGATAAACAATGGTAAGTTATTATAAATAAGACAGAACATGCTGTGTCCACAATGTCCACTTGGTAGGTTCATAAAAATCCTATCAGTGTCATAAAGACATGCTTCCTAGGAAACTTGGGCAGAGTGGAAGTACCATTAATTATTGCCAGATGAGTCTTGAAAGTATAACTTTTGAGGATCTAGAACCTCTTTCTAGGTGCAAAAGTCAATGCCTTGGGATTTTGAAAGAGTTCTCTGTAAAGGTGCTTTATCCTTTCCCCCAACCATGCCCTAACCCCTGAACTGCCCTCTATGTCTTCAGCATAAAAGCATAGTTTTAATCAATATTCATGTCAGCATTACCCAAAAAGCAGGAATCTTTCAAAACTCTTCAAAAACCCCCACTAGAAGGACAGAGTTAAAATTAACCTTCCCAGTTGATTTATATACCAGTATGTGAGCTCATATATTCTTGGACCAAAACATGGTCTTCCCATATTCCCTTTGAAGAGTGGGCAGAGGGGGACCCCTTTGTGTCAGAGTTAGAGAACAGAGATTCAGCATAGAAACAGCCTGGTTAAGACAGTGCCCATTTATTGTTCACTTACATGCAAGGCAGTTTCATTAATCCAAGGAATTGATTGTGGGCAAGTCTTGTGGTTTCTGGGCTTAAGGATTAATTAAGCCAAGTTGATCATCTGCTGGCTTCTAGCAAACCATGGCTTCAGAGGATAAGGGCCAATAGAAGTCCTGCAAAAAGGCATTTGCTCCAGGTGGCTCCAAATCACAGCAACACAGAGATTTCTGTTCTTATACTTGCTGCTAAATGCCATAGACTGTCAACTTATTAACACAGACATCTCTAAATGTGTCCACCTTCAGTATTGAGTGCAGGCCAAGTAAGACATCTCTGAATATTCTTTCTCTTATCTTCAAACATCAGTCAACCCTTCTATGTCCCCAACAATGAGTCATGTAAATAAATCTATGGGAAAATAAGCACCAGTCAAGCTGGATTAACAACAGAAAGAAAGTAACCAATCACCAGTTACCTTTTCTTTTCTAGCCCACTTTCCTGGAAGTTCTTCCAATGCTCATTCCTTTTGGTTAAGGTCCTATTGTGTGATCTATTTCCTTGGTCTCCTTTACCCCCTCATCACCTGAACCTGGGTGATAGATACCTGGAGGATGCTTCACTGACTAGCAAGTGAAGGTCAAGTTCTAATTCCTAATTTTTCAATCTCTTACGCTTCTTCCATTACTGTCCAATAGATGAAAATGCTACTTAATCTGTATTGTCCAAGACAGTAGCCACTAATATGACTGAGGCACTGAATTCTTTGTTTTGATTAACTTTTATTGAGTTAAATATAAATAGCTATACCTGGCTAGTAGACACATAGCATATTCTAGGGAAAGGGCAATTCTGTTTCTACTACCAGATCACTGATTTTTCAGGCCCCACACTCTCTGTAGTTACCAGCATTAACTGATTAAAACATTCATTCCTTTAGCAGACATTTAGTGGGTGACGACTATGCCAGGCACTAAAATACCCCCATGTCCCAAGTGATCACTTGTAACAAGGGAAGGAGACTAGAGTAGCTGTGAGCCCCAAACTTCATTTTAGCTAATATCACCCTGTCTCTCATATTTCCCTTTGTTTCTGGATATGTTGGCTCTTTTCTGATGTCTCAGGCAATATAACTAAAAATCACCATGAAATGACTCTTATTTTCTAAAAACTCTAACAAGACCATCTTTCTATGTTACAGACTGGATCTTTGCTGATTATCCAACAAACTTGAGCTTTTATGCTTCTTACAGTTTTGTCTTCAGTGGGGCTTTCATCATAGTCTAAAGCCTACTTTGCTATCTCTAAATTTCTTCCCATGGGCTTCGAACAATTCTCATTGTTGGAACAAACAAATAAAACCAGAAGTTTTTATAACTGACTTGGGTTTATGCATCTTATAAAAAACTTATATGAATGTGTAGTGCAAGACATAACTCCAAATTTCTTTATTTCCCACCTTTCTTATCTGCACAAATCAAGTTTATTCTTGAATTATAGTCTCAACAGTCACACAGGTGTTTGTGTTATGAAATTGGAGCAATTTGACTACTTTTTCAATATGCTGCAAACTGTAACATAAAACCTATTCCCTGCCAACCATTTATTTTAAGATGTTGAAAAAAGAAGTCTGTTTTAGAGATTGAAATAAAGTGAACAATTGTTATAAGGGCAAATTCAGCCAAGATTCGTAGGCGTCACTAGGAAGGCAGCAAAGGGGAGGCAGTGGATTCTGGTTCCTTTCTGTAATGCACAGACTTGGGCTGACTGCCTGAAGCACCCAATAAATATTACAGTTGATCCCAGTGTCTGTGAGTAATATGTACTTTCATGATTAGAAGAAATCTAAGTTGTTAGGCTGCCTTTCTATTATTTAGATAAGAAGAAAGGAAGAGCCAGCATGAATTTTTAATCCTGCACATTTAGAAAGCCTGCCATTTGTGGCTTCACATGGAATCTATTCAGCTTCTTGTAAATTATCTTAATCTGGTTTAGACCCCTAGGAGTCAAGGGGACACCTCTCTTAGTGTGTGGAAAGCAGTGGCTAAGGCACAAAAATCGAAACTTAAGTAAAGAAAGAAATGATTACATGTTTTAAATTTACTTTTGTTTTTGTGAACTAGCTATAGGAAAACCTTATCAAATACTCCATATTCTGCCTCCTTGGGGGTTGGCGTAGGGAAAGGAATGTAGCAGCTTAAAAATATCACTGACTACTGGTTGGCATTAGGAAAACACAGTGATTCACCTTTAGACATGGGCAGAGTGTTCTGGACAGGGGTGGGTATCAGATGTCACAAGTTTAGTAACATCTGTGCCAGTAATCAGCTTTAGGAAATGTCTGGACTTTTAGTCCTACTTCCCCATCATTTAATGTGGTAAGGGAGTTATCTTCTAAATATAACATTCCAAGATAAAATGTGGTTTTTTGCTCGAGAACATAGTATATAAATTACATAGAAATAACATAGGCTTTGAGGCCTCTTATAAATTTATTCAGCAAATACTGAATGTAGACCATGTGACAAATGCTGTACTAAGTTCAGTGTGGTGGTGAAGACAGAAAACAGGGACCTTGTCCACATGGGGCTTTTAGTGGATGAAACCTGTCACCTCAGCCTGCCTGTCACATCAGCCTGCACCAACCTCCTATTACCTCCTTCATAGACACTATTCTGTGCTCCATATTTGTACAGGAGAGTTGGGTGGTCTAGGGAGACCTCTCAGAATCACATGTAAGCTAAGTCCCAGAGCATAAGAAGGACACCATCCTAGAAGAGTGCAGGGAGCTACATTACAGAGAGAGGAGAAAGGAGCTGCCAAGTCTTCAAGGTGGGGAAAAGTTTAACATATTAGGATCTTGCAACTCAGATTGGACCCCAGACCAGCAGCATCAGCATCTGATGCTGGCAGGAATGCAGAATTTCAGCCCCCCCGTCCAGACTTTTAGATTCACAATCTGGATTTTAATGAGGATATTGGGTGATACTTAAACACATTCAAGTTTGATAAGCACTTAATGAGACAAACTCAGAGGTTGTAGAAGCTGGCACAGGATCAGGCAGAAGATAAATTCTCCAAGAAGATTAAATGTGAACATGACCTTTCTTCCAGCCCCAGGTCTGTCTGGCTTATGTTCCCAAAAATGCTATGTTGGTATCTTTGGAGGAAGTTATTTAGCTTCTCTTAATCCTGTTTCCATCCTCCATCAATCCTACAAGGAAGCTGTTGTTATGCCCATTGAACAGATGAGGAAATTGACTATCAAATACTTAAGTTACTTGACCTTTGGATGGTGTTTGAGAACAATAGCAATGATTATGTTTTCTTCACTATTTGTAAAAGAATCCAACTGAAAAAACTGAAGCAATCTTAGAAAGAGATGTCCTTTTACTATGGCGCAACCAAAGGTGTCTCAAAATCCAGCCCCTTTAACATCTTAGTGGCAGATAAATGGTTTGTGGGTTTTAGTTCATAGCTTGTCAGCAGTGCTGCCCTTCTGTCATGCATGCTTGTTTAGCTCAAAGGAGGTGCATTCCCCTGCGGCCAATGGCTTACATCTCCCTGGGCATCTGGGTCTCTGGCCCGTGTTCCTTGTCCTCGTGGTCACAGTGTCTGCTGACCAGTCCCTTTCTCTAACATTGGTCTGTTCTCTTAATAGTATCGTCCTTCTCCCTCTCCACCCAAGACTCCCAATTGCTTAAATTTGGCTTGCCCTGTGAACTTACTCTGAATTTACTCCTGCCCCATGTAGGAAAATCCCCTGGATTAACATCTATGCTCAAGTCCAACACGACAAGGAGCAGGAGATGATTGGATCAGTGAGCCAAAGTGAAAATGCCCCCAAAATCACACTCAGTGACTTCACTGAGCCTGAAGAACTGCTGGACAAAGAACTGGACACCCGGGTCATAGGTATGTGTGCAGGCACTGCTGGGTTCCTGGGCCTCTGTCTTCCAAACACAGGGCCACTGTGTATTTGACTTTCTGCAGATGTACCAGACTGGAGGGTGGGGGATAACAGCTGACTACAGTGACATAATCATGTTTTTAAGTCTCTCCACCTTCTCTAGCCATACACAATTGGGAAGTTTTGTTTTGTTTTGTTTTGTTTTTTTGCACTGAAAGTAGGTAGCAAAAGAAAATATAAGTATATTAAAAAGACATCCTACTGAATGGGAGAAAAAAACTTTACACATTACACAACCCATAAAGGTTTCATATCCAAGATATATAAAAATCATAAAGTTCAAGAATACAAAACATAGAATTCAACAATAGAAAAACAAGTAACCCAATTAATAAATTTGCAGCAAATCGAAACAGACATCACACCAAAGAAGATATCCAGAAGGCCAGTAGAATATGTGGAAAATATTCATCCTTGTTTTTAATAAGGGAAATGTAGGTCAAAACCACAATGAAATGGGTCACCTCCCATCTATGAGAACAGCACATGTTCCAAAGACCCCAACAAGTGCTAGAGAGGATTTAGAAAAAGAGGAATCAGCCCTAGTACATCATTGGCGAGTATGTAAACCGGGGAAGCCATGTGGAAAGCAATCTGGATCTACCTTAACAAATTAAAAATGGAAATACATGTAACCCAGAGACCCCACACTTGGGCATCTATCCAAAGAATGTGAAAACATCAGCTCACAGAGTGATATGGTCTGCAGTGCTTAGTATCATAGTTAGGACAAGGAAACACCGAGGGCCTGCTCATAGAGGACTGGACCAGGAAGATGTGGTGGCACAGCCACACTATGGAATATGTCTCAGTCATAAGAAAAGAAGATTCTGTGGAAAGAGTTCAAGGGAACTATGATTAGACAAGGAATATGGGCCATTTATATGGCAATAGTTGTACGGAGTGAAATACCTACAAAAACTAGGGTACATTAATCAAGAGAGATTTCTGAGGTTAAGAGGGAGGGAGGAAGAAGAAAGAGGCAAAGGATATAAGGGTGATGGTGTGGGAACTTTTCCAATTAAATAAGTAAAAATATAAATAAAATGCAATTAAATTAAATTCCTTCTTCACACTAGCCTCATTTCAAGGGCTCCCAGACACATGTGGCTGGCCTAATAGTGTAGACACAGAACATTTCTATAAAAATAAAGGGTAGATCAAGATCCATTAAAACAAAAAGTAGATTGATTGAATGTTGAGAGGTCAGGATGGGCTTGGGACGAAGCCAGCTACCCATGACCCACCACTGTTGTCCTTTTTCTTTATCTCAATGAATAAAATCATTTTACTTGCTTATTAATAATCACAGGGAACAACCTCTGGCCTCATATAGCTTGGGTCCATTATTCTTGCTCTGCCAGTCTGCTAGCTCTGTGAATCCTCTGTGCCTCACACACCCCACATGCAATGGGGGGATGGTGCCCACCTGCTGAGGTTGTTGGGATACGAGGTGGGAACACATCAATAGCACAGTGCCTGCCACATAGGAAGTGCTCAGACGCTTTGGTGTTCAGAACAGAGCATAGGGCACTACCACCTTGCTGTGGCCTCATGTGTGGTTGTGGGGAGCAGTAAAGTTTAGACCTAGGGGACATGAACCAGTGAGCTAAGAGAGAATATCCAGGTGCCCAGGCTAGTCAAGGCCTCTGAAGCATTTGCTCAAGGTGGCTTGGTATCTACCACCCTTCAGGAATGTATTACATCTTCTCTCCCTCTGTGTTCTCTCCCACAGGGGGTATTGCCACCATCGCAAACAGCGAAAGCACAAAGGAAATCCCCAACTGCACTAGTGTTTAATACCAACAAGCCACACGGTCAACCATCTTTCTGACTTTTTATTTTTGAAGATTACTATTACAATTATGGACAAATGAAAGTGTCTTTTTTACCTTTTGTTTACTAAGGGCCCCTTCAAAAATAGCAGGTAGATGCTTAGCTTTGGGAGGCAAAGGCATTCTTAGCTGATTAAAATGAGACAAAAGAATAAACAGCTGTCTTTCTGCTAAGGGCACAGATGCATCTGCCCATAGCCTTCTTGCTTTCTTCTGCCATCAATAGTGCCAAGACTGGCTTTTTTCTTGTGGTCTCTCTTTGTATTTTTAAAATTGAGTTGGCTTTTCATTCACCTCTCATCCCCTCAAGATCACCCACACCTCCCCTTGGCGTACATACCTGAACCCCAAACTATATCCCAGTAGATCTGCAGGAGGTAGGTTGGTGGGGAATGATCTTAGCTGCAGGAAGTGAAGCGTGCACACCTAGGAGAGAGGCCCTGCCTCGTGCATGTCTTTAGTGAGGCTGCAGATGGCTTATTGTATATAGTTACAGTGTAAATAGCTTTTTATTTCCTAAGAAATAATTTAATGTTTAGTAAAAAAGAAAACAGAAAAAAGAAAGATGTGCGTGTGTGTGTGCGTGTGTGTGTGTGTCGGCTTATGCACTCACCCCCAGAGCTGACCAACCCCCAGACCTGCTTGATGTGTTGGGTTCTGGATGTGCTGCAGTTGTCTGTCACACTTAACTCTTGCATCTCCATGTCCACACCATAGCTGGTTTCTACTGATGTACAGAAAGGGGAACAGTGGGAGGCTTCTTTGGTGTAGCTGGTGAAGGGAGAATGACAGTGACCTCAGGGAACATGGGGGTCTCTTAGTTTCATCGGTGACATAGAAGAAGTTGTAAGAGGAAGCCCACTAGAGATTTCAAACTGAGACCCAGGTGGGAAAACCATGCTCTCCTCCAAAAGGAAAACGTGAGGATATGTATCAGTCTAAGAAGCAGGTTCCTTTTCAAGAAGCCAGGGATGGATCAGAAATTGGCCATTATTCTGTCTTCCGGTTGGATTCCATGGAAATATGTTATGCTCATGGGGACTCGTTAGCAGTCCTTAGCTCAGAAAAGGCCTCTGGGCTCCAGGTTAAGCCTGGTTAAGCCTCTTGGTGTAGGAGGAGGTAAAGGTTGGCAGGAAGGTGGTATCTGTGGACTCACAAGTCCAGGCAGATCCTGCAGGCCAGCGAGGGGGGTAGCCTTTGCTGATATTAGTCAAAGATGATTTTAGCAAAGCTGTGCTATTTGCTTATCAGATGTACACAACTTCTTTAGAGTCAGATGTCTACCTACGGTTCTCTTCAGCTAGTTCTTGCCTCTAAGGCTGTCTTTGCCAGTCTTCTTTCCAACTCCCCATCCATTCACACATTGACACATACCTGTTTTATCAATACAGTCACAGGAAACCATGCTATATGCACAACTTTTATTTTCAGGCTCAGAAGGAGCTCACTTATTTTTAAAAATGATGTACTATGTATATAGATGGGAGGAAAGCTGAATTTTGTACCTATTAATTTATGTGGGGTATTGGTCACAGCCTGCTCTGTGAGACACTGAGAGAGTGTGATCTAGAGAAATCTGACTGGCTACAGCATAGATTGGGACTAGGAGAATTTCTGAAGATCCTGCTTTTTTGTTTCAAGGGTTAAATGGGGCAGACAATTGCAATACTTGTACTAAACACTGGAATACAAATGCATGAGTCATATCTATATATACAGTATATGTACATATACTGTTCTTGGTTTTATTGTTCCATTTGAATATTTCTACTGTAAAAAAAAAGACAGTGGTTTTGAAATTGTTGAAAATAAATGTATTTTTGTACATCAAAGTTATACACCTGGCTGAGATTTCTCTCTTTGGGCAGTTCTTTGTTTATCTTATCAGTCAACTATTGCTGCAATAATGCTACATGGCAAAAAAAAAAAAAAAATCCAAGTGGCTATAAAAGATGATATTTTGTTTGTGAGTCTTCAGGCTGGCTGTGGTTTGAGCTCCATCAGTGTTGACAAGCTCTCCTGAACTGGTTTTGATGTGGCTTCCATGGTTTAGTTTTTCTCCATGAGTTGCTATCATTGTGACACCTGCAGCAACCCAGAGCATGTTTTGTTTTTTGTTTTTTTTTCTTCCAACGGGGGATTATAGATTCCAGTGAGACCAGCAGAACAGTCTCTCTCTAAGGCTTTGGCTCCAAATGCTCACCCCATTCACCCTCACCTACATTCCATTGACCAAAGAAAACCACGTGGGTAATCCCAATCATCACTGGGCTAGGGGAAGAGACAGCCTGTGCAATCCTGTGCAGGATGTTACTAAGTTACATGAAAGAAGTGTGGCTGTGTAATTCCAGTAGAGGGAAGACATGGGCTGCTTAGAGCAATATTTCAGTCTACGATACCCATTCATTTTCTAGGACTCCATAGGGAACTTTCATTAGATGCCCCATTTGAACTTCTAGCCAAGTATCCATCCCACCCCAATGTTTGTGGCCAGGACTTCTGAGCACACGTCTTGGTAACTACAAAGCCTTGAAGTCTGATGTCAACACCCAGGGAGCAGTAGAGGTGTAACTCCAGCCAAGATCTTGAAGATTTCATCAGGAGAAGTGAAAAGAGAAGAGGAAACCAACCAGACATAGTACCTTTTTTTTCTCTCTCTCTTTTTACCATTTTCAAGCTGTGTGATGCATCAAACAGTAACAAATCTTGTGTGGCCCACTGCTGAGTAAGGAATTTGGAAGGGTAAGTGAGTGGTTCTTCTCTGTTTTAGGTGAAGAAGGCCTATGAGTGAAGGACCCAAAATAAAGAATAAAAGTTGGCTGTTTTTATTCTTTTAGTGTTGAAATATGTAATAAAATGACACAGATCTCAGAAACCTAAAAAACTTGAAAGCCTTGGTTGTTAACTTGCTACCTTATTTCAGATACTATCTGGGCTATTCTGCAGTCATATTTCCTGAACTCCCATTGAAGACACAGGACTGAACAAAGGTGATTTTCTTTTGACGTATGTATGTATATTTAAATTATAAATTATTATACTATAACTTTTCTTGAGTCACGCTCACATTTTCAAAAATTACATAAGTACCTTCCTCAAATATAGAGGCTGTAACTTCTGGTTCCTCTAAAGGTAGTAGTGTATTTTTCAGTCTGGTAGTTCGTAACATAAACTGCACATTTTAAAGGGATTTCTAATGGTTTTAAAGCTTCCCAAATAAGGTAAAGTATCTAATATTCTTATCCCAATGTAGACTGTCTAATATTCTTAGTTAGAATTTTCTAAATGCATTAATTTTGCTTTACAATGGGATCTGAGTCCCGCCTTCAATATTAATTTTTTTAAGATTTATTTTTATTTATTTATACAAGCACTGGGTACAGTCAGAAGCACGGGAGGGTGAGAGAATTCACCAGAGCCAGAGCGGGGAGCAGAGCAGGCAGAAGGACCAAAGTACACTGCTGAGGGGAGCAGCGGGCGGCAGGAGAGGTCTGCACGCCATGTGGGACCCTCCTCTGGTGGCCGGGGAGCAGCCAGGGATCGAACTGGCGCTGCAGAGACTGCTGGCAGCTTCTCAACCCAGCGCTTAACCGCTGCGCCACTGGGGGAGGCCCTTCAATATTAATTTTATGTCTGGTTGGTGAAATTGTTCGAGCAGATAAAAAAGGGCAATGTGAAATCAAGAAGTAAAATGTGAGTTGGTGGCTCATTTGGGCAAAGCCAGGCTATATAATACAGGTAGCCTGGTATCTGCAACTGGCAACTGAGATTTCTCAAGAACAGGCAGACAAAGGCAGAGTGGGGTTGATTTTATAGCTACTTCTTTCCAGGTTTCTCACCAGTGGGGAGTACTCGGCATCAGAATTGTCTCCTGGAAGGCAGTTCTAGCCCTGAGAAGTCAGTCTGCAGAAGTGCCCAGGGCCAGAGGCCAGCAAAGAGCCCCATGAGAGATTCTCCCAGGGTTTGTGCAAGCACGAGGTTTGAGAGTAACTGCTCTCTCTGCCACTGTAACAGCTCAGGGAGAGTGTGACTGGGCATAAGTTAGCATGCTACAAGACACCTTCATCTACAAAAGTAAGGATACCTTCCAAATTTGCTCATTTCCTCCTGGGCAACAGCTGCAAGTGTGAGAATCTCCCTATTGAGTTTTCTGGGACAAAACCACTAGTAGTCCAAGTGGTGGTGGGTCTTGTCTTGGAGTGAATATTAAGGCAGGAATTAGGAGATCTCTGACTTTCAACAAATCATTCTGGACCAGTTTTCTTATTTATAAAGGGAAAACATATTATGGCATGCCTCACCAAATTATGGCAAAATGACCAGTGTGGGCAGTAACAGAAATTACTTCTCTAGAGGGATAAATGGGTATTCGAGAAGGTGACTTCCCTAACATTTTGCAGAGCTGAAGATAACCCACATCCTCTTGATAGCAGGCAGAGTTTTCTGTGCACACACCTCCGCAGCCAGTGCAACATTGACTGACTGCCCCGTGTGTCGCTGAGGCAGAGCGGAGCCTGGTGGTGAAGCCACTGTGGCTCCCATATGTAAGACATCCAGATGCTTTCGAGTCTAACTTCCTAAGTGTGATCATCATTCAGGGCTCTCAACCCTCTATGTGCCAATGTCCTCCTGGCCCACTTGTCCAGCAGCCTGTGGTCTGATGCCCTTACTCCTTCACTGGACTGAAATAGGCCACTCCGCAGACAGCCGCCAGGCCCTAGCTCAGCTCCACTGAGGCACTGCTCACTCTTCACAGTGCTTGACCTTGGTCAGAGGGATGAAGGTCAGGGAGCCAACAAGCCCTGGGAATGCCTCCTCCTGATGCACACCCCATATCCTGCCAAATTCTCCCTTCTGCTCCAAAGGTACGGCCAGAGGAAACCAGAGGTAGCTCAGCAATTACCTCCCCAAGAACTACCACATCTTGAAGTCCCTTAACTTACCTTAATGACTATTAGCTTTCCAACAGCAAAAGCCTTTTCAGATATTCTTTGCCTCTGTGTTTTCAGACCATATTTCACAATGACTTGCAGGTTCATTCAGAAAAGAATCAATGGGACTTTGTTCACCACAACAAGGGAAAACAGTGGCTGAAGTTCAATTTACCCAGAGTCTCCATAAAACATGGAGACCTTTTAATTATCTGAGACTCAGAGGAGTGAAATGACATAATCAGGGTCCAGTCTCCCTGGCTATAAATTTGGAGATAATGACACCTACCTCCCAGGGCTGGAACCCAGATTAGATGAGGTAATTTGGGTAAGCACACAAAATAAGCCGTGCTTGCCAGAGAATGAATGAACCACAGAAGCTCCCGTGCTATGGTGCTGGGTCCATGTCCCCTCTCCTCTGTCCTTCCTGAGCTCAAGTGGTAAAAATTATCCTACCAGTCACCAGGGCTATACTCCCAGGAAAAAAAAAAAACTTGGAATTTTCTGGGAACATGCCATCTCCCTTGGCTACTCTCAGACAGAAGGGAATTTTGGTTAAAATCCAGTACTTACACCTTGATGCCAAAGTCACCGCTACCATCACAGGACTGATCTGACAGTCAACTGGTCAGATTTTTCTTGGACCATCTGGAAAGGACAAGAGAGGGATGTGTCTAGCCAGGGCTGGCAAGAATGCCTCATAAAATAAAAGCTGAAGTGCTCAGGTTGTGAAACACGCTCACTCCCGTCAAATGTGCTGAGGCCCTGGAGGTAACCAGGTTACTGATGCCAAAATCATTTGGCCTTGCTTGTTTGTGATTTTGTTTGTGCTGTGTTTATAATAGGACTTGCTTCTTGTTTTCTCTTCCTTCTCTTACCAATCTTTGGTGATGCTCCTGCAGTCCCGGGCCCTGGGGTCCCTCAAAAGCTCTCTGAAGGTCACAGGCTTAAGGTGCTATATCTTCACACATTGAAAAATAATAAGATAAAACAACTATTTGTAAAAGTAAATCTTATCATATCTGGAGGCACCAAGGTCTGGGCTTCTTGCTTTCAGTGCATCACAGCTCAAGGAGCCCTTTCTCAGAAAGTGAGCCAGAGAGGCAGGTTCTCTTCAAGATGTCTGCAAAGAAAGAGGAAAATAGATCATGACAGGCTCACTTGCCATCTGTCACAATGGCTTAGTCTCCAGGGAATGACGCTGCTTCCAGCTATTAGAAATGAACCAGATAAACTGCGGCCTTCAGTGATTTGCTCCTGCAAAGCGTGTGGTCTGGTCCCCGAAGAACAGAGACTTCTTCAGCTGAAATGTCTGCGCCTGGAGTGTCCCCTGTGCTGGGCCCCAGGGGCTTCTCCCCACTAAGAAGAACCCCCTTCACCTCCCTGGAGCCTCTCCCAGAAGCCTCTTCTTATGAAGCAGGGTCTTATGTTGCTTATACTCCCTTGCAATAGCAATAGCTCTCTTTATCCCAGGAACTGGCTGCAATTAACAGTCAACCCAAGCATGGTGACTGAGAAAAGAGGACCTGCAAGAGACAATTGTTTGTCTTGTCACTAATCTGTCTTTCTTGGTTTGTAGGTAGAACCACCCGGGAAGCACATAATTGTCTCCATAAACAACACACCTGGTCCTTGGAGCGCAGAACAGTTTTCTTGCACTGACCTTCCAAAATCTTCTGGTTCGATTAGAGAATTGTTGGGCTACTTCCATGGCACCTGGGACCTTTGGAGGGAGGGGTGCCAAGGGAAAAAGAGGGGAGAGAGGAGCCTAGAGAAATACAGTTAATCTTTGTCAATTACAAAGCTCAGCTTGACATATTCTAGTTTCAACCTGTCAATTTCAAATTCTCCTCTGTGAGGGGAAATGCAGATGCTCCCCAGATTTCTAATCTATTTATAATGGTA